GTGAACCACTGGGAGACAGCTGGCACCCTGCCTTGGTTCTCTCCTAGCTCCTGCAGCGCCCCCACTTGGGGGCCATCACATCCGGCCCACCATGCAGCTGTGGCCTCCTACACAGCATTTGAACTCCTGCTCATCTCTCACTGAGGGCCCACCCACTCAGTTTTGGTTTCTACCTAGAGGCGTGACTTCTGGCCCCAGCTCTGTGACGTCTAGCTGTAGTTAATGACCTCACCTGTAGAAAAGGCACTGCCCACCTGAAGTGCATGACCTGCCACTTAGCATGTAATGACACTTTTACTAATAAAAACAAGGGATTCCACAAAGTCCTTATACTGGCATGTCTACTTTTGTTACTGACAAATATTAGTTTCTTAACAATGGAATCTAACTGAGTCTTCTTTCTGGGGGAAAGCAAGAGACGTCATCAAATATGACCAAAGTCTGAAACCAGAATTTAAAGTATGGAAAGAGTGGCGTCTGGATGGCTCAGTCGGTTAAGCGTCTGCCTTCAGCTCCGGTCATAATCCCCGAATCCTGGGATCAAGTCCCTGCTGAGCAGGGAGCCTGCTTCTCCCTCTGCCCCTCACCCTGTCTCTCTCTCACTCTCTCTGTCTCTCAAATAAATAAATAAAATTACTAAAAAAAAATAAAGTACAGAAATAAAAGAATGGTCAGAAACTCTGTAGAATGATAAAGTAAATAGCTCTAAATAAACAAGTCTACATAAGAAAAGGCTGAAATAGGAAAGTGTTAAAAACATCCTGCTGTAAATTCTGCTGCTTTCCAGTTCTCCGTTGCTCCTAAGAGGCGAATGATTAGAGACTGTGAGGCCAGAGCAGCTGGCCCCGGGCAGCCGAGCTTGTCCATCTCCTTTGAGTGAGAGCCCAGGCTCTCCCACCACCCGTCCTTCTGCCCCCCCACAGGGCAGTGGGAAGGTGAAGGCACTGTGAGGAGAGCTGCCAAAGATGGCTGGACACGGGGAAGAATACTTCAGGAAGTCTCTCAGCCCTGTGCTGAAGTTCGAGACTTAGAAACAAACCCCTCTGTCCAGAGGGATGTGTAGTGAGCAAGAATCAAAGCAAAGGTGTGCTATGAATGGGAGAGACTGACTCTGGAAGCCCCTTGAACAGTTCTTGGAAGCTGGGGGCTCTCATTGGCTTATATGCTACTCCTTGCTGCAGGGCACTGTCCTACCTGGATCCAGCGGCAAAGTGTATTGGGAAAGTTGAAGGCTTCTCTTGGATCTACTGGATTCTCAGGGAGCCTTCCGTGGCCTTTTGCTTTGAGTGCTGTGTTCCCCTTTTACCAGAGGGCAGCACTGCACAAATTCCTGTTTCCCCCATGGCACGTTCTGTCGGATTGCATTTACTGGCGAACGAAGGACAGGTCACGTACCGGGCAGAAGTCACCATTCAAGGCTAGAGTGGGCTTCCGGTTGCCTTAAGAGAAGTACTCAAGTCTCTTGGGTAGTGAGCTGGAATGCCGACAGGGGAAGTGGGGTTCCTGTTTTCATTTGAAAACTTTATGATTAAGAGAACCTTTAAAAACTGATTTCACGTAAGTTTTTGGTGCCCATAAAAAATGTGGCTGCAGTTGTTGACTACTTTCCTAGGTGGACGAGACTCTTACTATTGTAACTTAACAGTGTTCCTTTACCCCCTAAGCTGAGGCCATCCTTCCCCAGAGGAATGGCTTTGGGATCAGAAGATAGGACTCTGGCTTCTGTGCAGTGTAAATGTACACACCTGTTTCAAGCAACTTTAATGTTTTTTGATTGGTTTGTATCTCATAGCTCAGTAGCTGATAACAAAGTTAAAAATTCTGTGCAAAAAAAAAAAAGGAAAGTGTTAAAAACAAAACACACGCCTCTTTTTTTCTCCATAAACAAAGTGACTGTCCTCTACATGTTCAGTCCTATTGATAAGACAGGCAATGAGGCCAAGGAGGGTGTGACAGGTGAGTGGACCTACCCTGGGAACGCTCCATCTGTTGCAGAGCTCCAGTCCATGCAGTTTAACTGCCAAATACCTGACAGAAATTAATACTACGTCTGATCACATCAAATTGAGACTGTCTTTTCAAGAACAGGTAAAACAAGTATAAAATCTGAAAGAACAAATCTACTAGTTGTAAACCCTAAGAAGAGCAATGGAAGAATTAGCTGGGTTCCCTCAAAGGATCTGAGCAACAGGAAATCAACAGCACGATGACCTGCAGACCCGACGTCCCACCACCTAAGCTGAGCTGGGCTGCAGCAACATGAGCTGATCACCGGGGGCACCCAGTCCCCTTTCTCCAGCCAGTTCTCGTGGAGGGAAGGAGCTAACAGCGACCTGCACAGAAGGTCTGAAAGAGCTGGGAAAACTGGCAACCTCCTGCAAGGGGGACTGGGGATGGGAGTGAAGACTTTTAGAAAATTCTTACACTGTTTGAAGTCTTAAATAATCTCATCTTATACCTGGTGTATAATAACAATAATATTATTATTGTTGTTATTATATATTAACAACATGATTAGCACAAATCTTGAAACAGAAAGAGATGGAGTCCAGTTGGCAGTAAACATCCACAAGCAGGAAGTATAAGGAGCGTAAAGGCACACGCAATGCACAGAATAGAAAGAATTTCAGTTTCTCTGTTTTCTAGCTACTTAGCTGGGATTCCCTGGTCTGTTTTCTCATCTGAAAAGACTACTACTACCTGCCTGAGAGGTTTGGTTTAAGGATTAGAGAGGATATATATATATGAGACTCAACACAGGACCTGCACACAGTAGATACTCAGTGACCAGCAGAAGCCACTGTTATGATTTCCAGACATAAGAATAAAAGAAAGACACAGAAGCTTCCTGAAACACCCAGTATAAGCAGATCACACACAGTCTTTTAAGACAAAATATAAGAAACATTAAAAAGGGATGGGAGATTTTGTTCAAAGGCCAACAGAACTTTTCTTGGCTGTGAAAACTATGATGGGATTTTCTTTTTCAAAATTTAAGGTCACTCCAAGGAGAAGTCCTATTTGTAAAAAAAAAAAAAAATACTAATAATTCAAAGATAGCACCAAATACTATTTGATTCTCAACTCTTAAAGTGGTTGTCACAGGAGGATGAAATGTGGGAGAAAAAACACTCACCAAAGCAATATAGCACCTGCACTGTATTTCAACACTGTTTTATATCCCAGTGATCAGCTCAATGCCCTTTAAAAGTTCATATTTAAACATATAAATCATTTTTGTTTGGCCCCCGTTATATTCTGAAGTCTCCTTAAAGTTTTATACTTCACACATGAAAACTGTCTAAATCAGACAGCAATTAAAGGATAATCACTGAAGACCTAATTAAAGTCACAAAAAGGGATCACACATGCAACTCTGTTTCCAGACTTCTGTACCCGTTTTAGTCCCACAGATGACTGACGAGGACAGCCCCGTTCTCTATAAAGCCTTCCCTGACTCCTGCTGCAACCCTCAAGCAAACTTAATTACCCTTCCTCTGACTATACTTATTGTTCATCCAAACAAAACATAACCCAGACTGAACTGTCCCTTATTTCCCCCAGGGAGCGAAGATTTCCCCCTTTCCTCACTTACATAAGTTAAAAAGAAACTGACCAAGCGCTTACATGGAGCTCGGCCAGCCCCAGTGTCAGGAGACACCCCATGCTCAATACCAGTCACCCGCTGCTTTCCACAGGAGTCCCCAGGGCAAAGCACATCACTAGTGTGCATTCCTTTCAAGCAAAAGCCAACTTCTTGTAAGTGGGTGTGTACTTCTTAAAAATGAATTTCCCTTCATTCTCACTGCTTTTAAACAGTGCCAGGGGTAGTGATCCTCTTTGAAGGCGTACTTTGTACAAGTGCCCTGGGCCGAGGGCATGAGGACAACACCTCTATTGTCACAAAAGAAACCAGTTTTTACATCATTTCTGAATGTTTGAGGAGCCATTTAGAAATTACGAACAATGATAAAAACAAGCATATGGGTCAGGAATGTGCAGAAAATAATCCATATTTTAGCTGCGCATGAAAGGGTGGTATAAACCAAGGGCTAGGACATCAGTGAAATCACAGATATTCTTAGCTCTTATCCTGTAGAAGTCACGATGCAGATTGCTGCTGTATTCCTAAGTCATGCACAGCAGCCTCTTCTGGAAGGTTGCTGTTACCAGATATGCTAGTAAGTAAATAAGAGTTTTCTAAGATGAAAAGTTGTCTTCCTTTTTTGATGCCCCCTGCCTTCCCTTTTTGATGAAAACCCTGGGTATCTGACAGAAACAGAAGGTAAAGAGACCAAGAGGCAGATGCAAGAGAGAGCACTCTTCTGAGAAGGTAACAAGCACTATTATGTTCATCTTTCTCCAGTACCCCCACTAGTGACACCTCGGCCAAGCCCACCAACGCTTGTCGGCCCCTGGGCACGAGGAAACAGCCCTGGCATAGGAGGAGAGGCACCTCCACGCCTCTGCCCATGCCGTCCCTCCCTCTGTCATGTCCAGATGCCCTTCCTTCTCCCTGTCCACCTGTCCTGTCGCCCCACTCAGTTAAAACATATCATACCCTGTAAAGACTTTCCCGATCCCTCCCTCCAACAGCCAGCAAAATGAAATCGTCCTTCCTCAGCAGCCTCAGGGCACTTTTCCTGAACTTCTCTTATGGAGCTTGTGTTATTTTAGAGTTTCCCATTCAAGTGTCTGTCTCTCCCGAAAACCTGCTAGCCCCCTGAAAGCAGAGACCTTGCTTCATTTGTGTCCATCTGGCACATGGGAGGTAGTCAATAAATGTTTGGTGGAGGATGGAGGATGGACGGAGAGATGGATGAAGAGTGGATAAAGTACTGTATCCCAAAGCAGGGAGAGTTCTGGGGTGCAAAAAATATAATCTCTCTCTATGTACAGGGAGAGGGGCAGAAATGGGAAGATGACCACAAGCCACAGCTGCCCTGTGGGTTTCCCATGTCAGATGATGGTGGCGAACAAAGGTCTACGTGAATCTTTACCCAGGGAAGCCAACAGCTCATAATTCATCCGCATCACGTCTCTGTACAGCTCCTTCTGCCGCTTGACTAGCATGCCCCACTCCTCCCGGGTGAAATACACCGCCACATCCTCAAACACCACCGGGAGCTCCTCAAACACCACAGGAACCTCCTCAAACAGCCCCTCTTCAGAAGGATCCTGCAACAAAGAGCAGTAGTCACTCAATACGCCTCTTACGCCAGACACCCAGCGTGATACTTTTAGGGTCCTTCTCAAGGCCTATTTCCCTTGGGAGGCTTGCCAAGAGGCCCAGATGTAACTCCGAGGAATTAATGTATCCATCGAAAGTTAGAGAAGCAAATTTGTGAGGCCCAGAGTTAGTAGGTAAAAAAAAAAAAACAAAAAAACGAGCCTCAGTCTGATCCTAGGGTCTCTTAGGAGGTAATAAAAAAGCGCTGAAGAACAGGGGTCCTGGCAGAGCCTTATGACTGTATCTTGCCCTATACAGTCCTAAGGGGGTGCCTTCTACTCAACCATGACTACAATGGTGACCATCTGCCTCTAGCACCTGCTAAGATTTCCCACTGGGAGAGGAAGGAAAAAAGACGTAGTACAGAAGAACGAAAGATGCTTATATTCAGTGACTCGTTAGACCTATTTATTAGCTTCTAATACTAAAAAGTAGAATGAACATGAACATGAAGAGAAATGAGCTTCGTCACTTTTCTAGATTCTGGAAAAATTCAAGCTTACTAACTTTGGCTGGGCCCTTATGATGTGAAGTCTGAGGAACAGCTGAGCTATTCTCATGGGAATACCCGAGGGGTACTCAAAATGGTTTCTAGTAAAATCTTGCTTATATGAAATAGTTGAGAAATGGTGAAGGATCTCGTTACTCAAAATTCCAGTTCACACAGGTTCCTTACAGCCACCTTTGCAAAGACCTAGGAACTTACAAGGTACCCACGAGGTGAGCGCTGGAGCTTCCGGGCCCACGTGCGCGTGCGCAGGGAGTGGAGGGGAGGCGCCGCCGGCTGGTGGCCATGCTCCGGCGTAGGTGCACCACGAGCCCTCGGGCTCTGGCCAGGTCAGTCCCCCCACGCTCTGTGTCCTCCCAACAAGACAAGTTAATAGGACTTGCTCCACCAGCCTCAGAGCAGCATCAAAAACATTACATAAAACAACGCGTGTGAGGAAATTCTGCAGTGTTTAATGCTGCTGCATAATTCTGAAGTTAAAGTTAAAAACATTTTAGAAATTAATTATTTAAGAGCTCTGTGGTTGTTCTGTGGTCACGTATTATTTACTGAGTTCTGTGACTGTTTTGGATTCTGGATAAAGGTTATCATCCTGAACTTAAGAAGTTTTCTTTGTATCAGAGGTTGGAACGTTCTGTCCCACTAATTGTGTTTTGTTATCTGCGAAAGGAGATGAAAATAATAGGGCTGTTGTCTTAAATAAATAACACAGGGTGCCTGGGTGGCTCAGTTGGTTAATGGCTGACTCTTGTTTTTGGCTCAGGTCATGATCTCAGAGTGGTAAGATCAAGCCCCGCATCAGGCTCCATGCTCAGCAGGGAGTCTGCTTGAGATTCTCTCTCCCTCTCCCTCTGCTCCTCCCCCCAGGCATGCTCTCTCTTTCTAAAATAAAGAAAGAAAATCTTTAAATAAATTAATTAATGAGGTAACATTAGTAAAGCACATAAAACAATGCCTAGTGCACCGTAAGCATGTTAGGGTCTAGAACATTATAATGTTTGCAGCAGGTATGGCTATTATAATTTTCCCATCATCGTCATGCGACACGTGTTGTTGCTAGGATGGAATCCTTCCCCTTGAGACACAGCAATCATTACAAACACATTACCTGACCGCCGGGTTCAGCAGCATCACCCAAAATGTTGACATCTGATGACCTGTGGGTATCATCAGCAGTTTCTTTTTCCCTCAACTCAGAAATGCAGTCTAGATACAATGTAGGAAATGCTCCATTCCCCCCAGGGTCCTCCAGGTCAGCTCTTGGGCTGGGCAGGAGCTGGGCCATGTTATCATAGGCTCCCAGAGGCCCCGGGGGGTACAATATGGGATAGTCTGCCGTAAAGAGGTGCTCAGGGCTGGCCAGGACATCTCCAGATTCCTCTCGGACGCTTTGGAAACGGTCCGCCCAGATGGGGTCCCGTGCTGCCAAGGCATTGACGCAGAACAGGTGAGCTTTGCTCTTGGCGTGGTATTTGAGAGTCTCCACCTTGAATGGTCCTGTATAACCTTCTATTAATCTTGACCGTTTGTCCCTGACAGATGGGTATTCGCGGCAAGCAGAGCAAAAGAGAGCCGTCTGCTCCTCATTCATGACCAGCCATGGGAACTGCGCAAACCAAGACTTCTGGATAGAGCGGGGCTTCAAGGGTTTTTTGCTTTTCCCTGTACAGTCTACCTCAATGTTGCCATGCTCTGTGCTGAAGTGGGAAAGACAGGCTTTCTTCTGTGGGGGCAGATCTAGTCCGGCTTCTCTGGCAGGACTTCGCGAGTCCCTTTCTTCCATGCAGCCCATCTTGTTTTTCCCTTTAGAGAAAAGAGAGCAATGGAATTTGCTCAGAAATCCTATAGTTAGAGCCACTGCACCTCATGGGCCTCTCGGTGTAGCAAATATGAGAGCTGGAAATCACACACAAGAGTGGCCCAGGCTCTACTTGGAATTCTCTTTGTTCAGACCCCCAGCTCCCCAGGCCCACCCCACCTGACCCTGAAGACAATCAAGTGAGCTTTAAGCATCTCCCCCTTTTTGAAGTTTAAAGGGCAGATACGCCTGGCCAAAAAGATCTCTACAGTTTCATCTCTGCAACCTAAGATAGTGGAACCATCTTCAGGAGTTCCAACTTATTTATGGATAAGAACGCTGAACTTAATAAAATGTCGGTTAAAGAAGATAATTAAAGCCAAATCCTGCAACTCCATCCTCAGCAGGAATCCCCTTCTCCGGTACCCCTGCCAGACAGGCATTTGCACTTTGCTCACGTATCTTTCGGGCAAGGGTACGGCCTACCACCTCCTGGGTAGATGGTTTTGGTCCCCAGAGTTTGCCTTAAGCTGTGCTCCACTTTTAAGTGACTTCCACCCAGGGTCTCTACTTCAGCCCTTCAGAGAAACACAAGTCCACTCTCACACCACAGCCCTTCCAAAGAGGCAACAACTCTCATGAACTAAGATTTTTTTCCTCAAGTTAAACTAGAAATTTCTTTATTCACTCCTAAGTTGAAACGCAGCTTAGACGCTCTAAACTCCTCCACAGCCATTTCTTGTGCATCAACGTAAGTGCACGTGCCCAGTGGCCAAGGACTCAACGGTATTTGCTCTAATTGTAGCCAACTCAGGAGCACAAAATGGCTAATAAAGAGAAAGCCGGGTCAAAATTAAGAGCCAAGCATTGGGGGTGCCTGGGTGGCTCAGTCGGTCTGCCTTCGGCTCAGGTCATGACCCCAGGGTCCTGGGATGGAGCCCCACATTGGGCTCCCTGCTCAGCAGGGAGCGTGCTTCTCCCTCTCTTCTGCCTGCCATTCCCCCTGCTTGTGCATGTGCGTTCTCTCTGTCAAATAAATAAATAAAACATTTTTTTAAAAGAGCCAAGCATTGGAAAACAAAATAAATTAGTATCTCTGAAGTCTTGGGCTCCATGTGGTCCCTCTGAGACAGATCACGGGGGAGAGCAGATGCCTGTGAGTCAGCTCCCGTAAGAGCTGTCCTCCCTTTTCTCCTACAGTGGGGGCTGCTCCACTCAACCATCTCATCCAATGACAAGATGTCACCTGGCCTGACTCTAGCCAAGCCAGTCCCTCAACAGGACAGGCTTCTCAGAGGAGAAAAGCCAAGATAAATCCCTAGACCTTAACAAACATCTGTCCATTCATTCAGTGATTATTTATCATGCAACTGCCGTACGCCAGGCATTGGTCTCAGCAATGAGACCAATGGGACTACAGGAGTCAACAAGACAAAGTCATGTCTCCATGGAACTTAGCATATAGAATTAAAAATCAACATATACTCTCAGGAAGAAATAAAATAAAGGGAGATGGAGAAGTTGGAGGACAATGTTGAGGGAGATGTGCATATTTCAGATAAGGTGGTGGCTGGGGAAGGACAGCATGCGTGTGAGTGAGTTGGCAGAGAACAGGGAGAGGCCAAGGATGAGACAGGAGCCCTGGTGCCCATCTTTCTGCTCCCTCTCTCCAGCTAGCACCCCTCCTCCCGTGCGGATCCACACTTACCTGGGTGGTGGCTCAGAACATTCCTCTGGCTCTGGACATTTCCTAGCCATGGCTCTGGCCCTTGCTCAAACTTATAGAACAGCTCTGGGTTGGCAATAGTCGGTCCTGAGTCAGGAACAGAGAGAGGCACTTATGAAGTCTTGGATCCAGGTCACATCACAACATTAAGGAAGGGTCTACCTGGGACATCCTCCCCGCACTGTAAAATAATTGGTCAAGGACACAGGTGGGAATCTCGATGCTTTAGCACGGTGGTTTGGAAACTCAGACAGAAACTCAGATATCCATGAGGTCCCCAAAAGAATGGGGGTCTGAGTGAATGCAAGGAGAGGCACAAACAAGGCTCTGTGCCCCTTTTGAGGCTGAAAAGGTATGAAAACTACTGGTTTAGAACAGAGGCTCATAAACTCAAATGCTGAGAGGGGTCAGACCAATACCATAACTGAGGAAACCAGGCCAGATGAGGAGGCTGTGGTGACCTGTGTGTGGGGGCAGCCGCTGCTCCCCGCCCCCAGGGGGAGGCCACCATGTGGAACTCAGAACTCAGGGTCAGCATAGCCAGACTGTCCTGCTTTTCAAGAAAAACCAGAAATCATAATTCCATGTGAAATTTCCCAGGGGTTAAATATTGACAACTTATTAAATACTGTAAAGAAACTGAGGCACCTGGCTGGCTCAGTCGGAAGAGCACGTGGCTCTTGATCTCAGGGTCGTGAGTTCAAGCCCCACGTTAGGTGTAGAGATTACTTAAATGAACTTAAAAAAATTTATTTTTAATTTTTTAATTGTAAAGAAACCAAGCAAAAGTGATGAAAGCCAAAAAAAAAAAAAAAAAAAAAAAAGGCCCATGAGCTGCTACTCTGCAACTCCTGGTTTAAAAGAACCAGAAGTTTTCAAACTGGTTTTGGCAGGCATGGGAGAAGACCCAACCCAGCTGCAATCCCTCCACCCACAGAGAGCTGAGACTGTTGCTCCCATTAGCCTTGGACAGGGGCCAACATGACAAGAAGAGAAAGGCACAGCAGGTGGTCATCAAGGTGAACTGAGAAAATAGTACATATGTTGTACCCACAGCGGAATGACGATCACTTCTGTCCATGGTACTGAAAGTCTACCCACAGAAGCAGAGAAAAGACCCTCAGAAAACGGAAAAGATGAAAAATACCTACATGGGCACCAAGTTTGAAGTAGTTTTACCTCATTAAGCCTCTACGACAGCCCTCTGAAGGAAACCAAGGCTTAAAAAGTGAGAGGGTTTGGGGCACCTGGGTGGCTCAGTTCGTTAAGCATCTGACTCTGTTTTGGCTCAGGTCATGATCTCAGGATTGTGGGATCAAGCCTGGCCGTTGGGCTCTGCGCTCAGCATGGAGTCAGCCGGAGGTTCTCTCTCTCCCTCTCCTTGCACACGCACACTCTCTCTCTCTAAATAAAGTCTTAAAAAAAAAAAAAGTGAAAGGGTTTGGTCGAAGGCACCCCAGTGTCACGTGGTGGAGGCTGGGACTGAGAGCAGATTCCCACATACCAGATGATCCTGTTTCTACCACCACTCACTACCTCCCAGGGCCCTATGGGCACCTGAAACAAAATCCATCCTGCAGCTCCACAGACCACAGGTGGGGCTTCCCACCTGGCACCCTGTGATATGGTGAGGCATCAAGGTCCAGTCTTGACATGCCCGACTTCCCCACTTCTCTTGGTCAACTGAAGGGGAGAAGAGAAAGGGTGGGATGTGAATCCACGTGCAGTTAAGTTACATATGGGACTGAGCAGATGAATAATGTAAACAGATCTGAAAAAAAAAATGGTAGGAGTCCAGAAAATTCTCAAGTGTGTCATAGTTGAATACAATCTGGAATGCTGATCTAGATTCAGGTGGCAGGAAAGTGAAAAGGAACCCATACCTAGTGGTGCCACCAGCTTGTCAGAACCACAGATCTCCCTCTGTTGCTGACTCAGCAGCATCCATTCTTCCTGAAGCAAGTATACGGTGATGTCATCAAACGTCACAGGAGCCTGGAGGGAAAAATGACACCAGCTAAGCACCAACTTCCTCCTTAGATTAGCCTTCCACTCCTGTGTTCATGACCACTTGAGGGCACCTATACTCTGGGAACCTATCAGATTGGGGGAGGGGCATTGTCCATCTCCATATAAGACCTACACCCCACCTCTCTCACCTCCTGGGTCCAAATCACAGTGGGAATGACTCTCTTCTAGGAAGGGTCACACACCAAAATGGGAGTCATCAAGAAGGCTGACTCAGGAATTCCATTATCCTTTCCCTAACATGCTCTTTGCCTGCCCCAGTACGCAGCACTTCTCAGCCGGGGCCTCAGCAACAACTTATGGCAATTCTTGTACAAAATCTTGAACCTGGTAAGGAGGATGTACCTGATTCCTAGAAACAGTTGAAAGTCATTCAGAACTATGTCTGTCAATGAAATCAGTGATCAAGATAGACGAAGCTTTAGAGTGGAGAACTATATCCCATGGGGCTTGTAAAGTGGCTCTGTTCTGCCAAAAAACGGTATGGGGTTCAGGAAATATTTTGAGGAGCACTGGAATAAGATGGCAGATTGAACAAGTACACTGAATTCTGTATCCTTCCTGTGAATTTAGAAGATACCCTCCCCACCAAAACACTTCAAAGCAAAATCCCCACCAGGGTGGGAAACAAAACAAGAGGACAAAAGTAACGATTTGGGGAACTGAAAAGCACGTGAAAAATAACTTAGCAGATCCAAGAAAATCAAATCCTCACCCAGCAGCAGACAAATTAAGAAACAACCCAATTTATGCCAGAAAATCCAAAAAGGGCTCAGGGTCTGCAGCACCAAGAACCCCCACCCTGGCAGTGACGGCAGTAAGGCTGAGACCATAAGAAGGGGTTGGGTGGGACGCTGTTCTCCAACAAAAGACTGTCCAGACTCCCCTGCACGGCTCTGCACTGACAAGCCCCCCTTCCGTGGGCTCAGAGCTTCCAGTTAGAATTTGGGTTTCTGACTATTAAGTGTTAGCTAACAGCTTGACTACCAGACATCTGAGGAAAGTCTCTCACAGGGCTGAAGAGACCAAAGCAGACAGTTGCAGGGGAAAGAAGCAGGTAGGGACTGAGGAAATGAACATGAGGCATGGAGAAGAAAACTTTACAAAAATAAAACTATCATCATAGCCTCAGAGAGGTAAGCTACTGTGGCCATGCAACAAACCCTTATAAAAGAAATAACCAGAAAAGGAAATAGAAACCATTGCTCTGTTTATCCTTTTAATTTCATACCATGAACATTTATCACCTAGTCTAATAAATAAAATTATTAACAAAAAATAAGTTCCCCACCGCCAAAGCAAAACAACATCTTTGGGAAACAGTATCTTGGGGTAAGTAGAAGTCCTTCCAGAGTGACAACTGTGAAAGGGACACTTTCTTTTCCATCTATGACAAGTTCTAGTATATTTGTCTAAAATCACCTTGTAACTTTATGGTCAGATTTCAAGCACATGAAATATCTATTTTAACTTCAACAGTAGAAACTTCTTGAGAAAAACAATACAGATAATTCTTACCAGTCACTGTTGAGTTGTATACTTAAAATAATAATTCGAGTACTCTTCTTATGAGTCAATACATGTTCACTGCAGAAAATTTAGACAGTGAGCAGAAAAAAAGTGTTAAGATCACCCACAACCCCCTTACCAAAACAAGAAGTACTATTGACATTTGGTATGTAACCTTCCAGTCTTTTGTCTATGAGTATGTATGAATGAACAGTTTTAAAATAAAAATGGTTTGGAAACACAATGATCCAAAATCTTTGGGACATAGCAAAAGCAGTGTAAGAGGAAGTTTATAGCGATACAGGCCTACCTCAAGAAACAAGAAAAATCTCAAACAATCTAAACTTATGCCTAAAGGGACTAGAAAAAGAAATAGAAACAAAGCCCAAAGAAATGAAATTATTAAGACTGGAGTGAAAATAAATGAAACAGAGACAAAAAAAATAGAAAAGATCGATGAAACCAAGAGCTGGTTCTTTGAAAAGATAAACAAAATTGATAAACCTTCAGCCAAACTCAACAAGAAAAAAAGAGAGAAGACTCAAATAAATAAAATCAGAAATGAGAGAGGAGAAATAACAATGGATACCACAGAAATAGAAAGAATTATAAGAGAATACAATGAAAAATTATATGTCAACAATTGAACAACCTAGAAGAAATGGATAAATTCCTAGAAACATACAATCTTCCAAAACTGAATCAGGAAGAAATAGAAAATTTGAACAGACTGAGTACTAGGAATGAAATTTATTCAGTAATCAAAAAACTCCCAATAAACAAAAGTCCAGGACCCGATGGCTTCACAGGTGAATTCTACCAAACATTTAAAGAAGAGTTAATACCTATTCTTCTCAAAATTCTAAAAAATAGAAAAGGAAGGAAAACCTCCCAATTCATTCTGTGAGGCCAGCATTAACCAAAACCAGACAAAGACACCACAAACAAAGAGAACTACAGGCCAATATGCCTGATCAACATAGGCAAAAATCCTCAACAAATATTAGCAAACCAAATTCAACAATACATTAAAAAACATCACTCACCACAATCAAGTGGGATCTATTCCAGAGATGCAAGGATGGTTATATAGTCACAAATCAATCGGTGTGATACATCACAATAACAAAAGGAGGGCTGAAAGTCATATCATCTGAATAGATGCATAAAAAGCGTTTGATAAAATAAACATCCATTCGTGATAAAAACTCTCAACAAAGTAGGTTTAGAGGGAACATACCTCAACATAATAAAGGCCTTATATGAAAAACCCACAGTTAACATCATATTCAGTGATGAAAAACTGAAAGCTTTTCCTCTAAGATCAGAAACAAGTCAAGGATGTCCACTTTTACCACTGTTGTTCAATGTAGTACCAGAAGTCCTAGCTGCAGCAATCAGACAAGAAAAAGAAATAAAGGCATCCAAGTTGGTAAGGAGGAAGTAAAGCTGTCACTATTTGCAGATGACATGATACTACACATAGAAAACCCTAAAGATTCCACCAAAAAGCTATTAGAACTAATAAATGAATTCTGTGAAGTTGCAGGATACAAAATTAATATACAGAAATCTGTCGCATTTCTCTACACTAATAACAAAGTAGAAGAGAAATTATGAAAACAATTCCATTTACAACTGAACCAAAAAAATAAAATAAAATACTTAGGAATAGAAAACTATAAGGCATTGATGAAAGAAATGAAGACAACACACACACATACACACAAACGGAAAGATATACCATGCTCATGGATTGAAAGAATCAATATTGTTAAAATGTCCATAATACCCAAAGCAATCTACAGATTCAGTGTAATCCATATCAAGAAACCACCAGCACTGCAGCCACTCTGGAAAACAGTATGGAGGTTCCTCAAAAAGTTGAAAACAGAGCTACCCTATGACCCAGCAACTGCACTACTGGATATTTACCCCAAAGATACAAATGTAGTGATCTGAAGGGGTACGTGCACCCAAATGTTTATAACAGCAATGTCCACAATAGCCAAACTATGGAAAGAGCCAAGATGTCCATCAACAGATGAATGGATAAAGAAGATGTGGAATATATATACAATGGAATATTATGCAGCCATCAAAAAACCTGAAATCTTGTCATTTGCAATGACGTGGCTGGAACTAGAGGGTATTATGCTAAGCTAAATAAGTCAATCAGAGAAAGACAAGTATCATATGGTCTCACTGATACGAGGAATTCTTAATCTCAGGAAACAAACTGAGGGTTGCTGGAGTGGTGGGGGTGGGAGGGATGGGGTGGCTGGGTGACGGACATTGGGGACGGTATGTGCTATGGTGAGCGCTGTGAATTGTGTAAGACTGATGAATCACAGACCTGTACCTCTGAAACAAATAATACATTATATGTTTAAAAAAAAAAAAAGAAAAAGAAGATAGTAGGAAGGGGAAAATGAAGGGGGAGAAATCGGAGGGAGAGACGAACTATGAGAGACTACGGACTCTGAGAAACAAACTGAGGGTTTTAGAGGGGAGGGGGTTGGGGGATGGGTTAGCCCGGTGATGGGTATTAAGGAGGGCACGTATTGAATGGAGCACTGGGTGTTATATGCAAATAATGAATCACGGAACACTACATCAAAAACTAATGATGTAATGTAACGTAACGTAATAAAAGAAAAGAAAAGAAAAAAAAAGAAAGAAACCACCAGCACTTTTCATAGAACTAGAACAAATAATGCTAAAATTTGTATGGAATCACAAAAGACCTCGAAGACCTCAAATAACCAAAACAATCTTGAGAAAAAAGATGAAAGTTGGAGGTATCACAATCCCAGATTTCAAGATAAAGATATATTAAGCTATAGTAATCTAAACAGTATGGTACTGGCACAAAAATAGACACATAGATCAACAGAACAGGACAGACAGCCCAGAAGCAAACCTTCTCATATATGGTCAATTAACTTATGACAAAGGAGGCAAGTATATATAATGGGGAAAAGACAGACTTTTCAATAAATGGTGCTGGGAAAACTGGACAACTACATGCAAAAGAATGAAACTGGACCACTTTCTTACACAATACACAAAAAACTTCAAAAAGGATAAAAGACCTAAACATGAGAACTGAAATCATAATAAAACTCCTAAGACAAAACATAGGCAGTAATCTCTTGGACATCAACCTTAGCAAACATATTTACAGATGTCTCCTCAGGCAAGGGAAGTAAAAGCAAAAATAAACTATTGGGACCATACCAAAATAAAAAGCTTTTGCACACCGAGGAAACCATCAACAAAACAAAAGGCAACCTACTGAATGGGAGAAGATATTTGTAAATGATATATCTGGTTAATATCCAAAATACATAAAGAACTTACACAAGTAAACACCAAAAAAAATCTGATCAAAAAATGCACAGAGGATTTGGATAGACATTTTTCCAAAGAAGACATACAGATGGCCAACAGGCACATGAAAATATGTTCAACATCACTCATCATCAGGGAAATACAAATCAAACCATAATGAAATATCACCTCACACCAGTCAGAATGGCTAATACCAAAAAGACAAGAAATAACACGGGCACCTGGCTGGCTCAGTCAGTAGAGCATGTGACTTGATCCCGGGGTTGTGGGTTCGAGCCCCACACTGGGTGTAGAGACTACTTAAAAATTTAAAAATCTTAAAAAAAAAAGACAAGAAATAACAAGTACTGGTGAGGATATAAAGAAAAGAGAACACTCATGCACTGTTGGTAGGAATGTAAATCGGTGCAGCCCCTGTGGAAAACGGTATGGGTGGGGTCCTCAAAAAATTGGGGAAATACTGTATGATCCATAATTCCACTATTGGGTATTAACCCAAAGAAAGCAAAAGTACTAATTCAAAAAGATATATGCACCCCCATGCTTATTAAAGCATTATTTACAATAGCCAAGATATGGAAGCAACCCGTATCCATTGATAGATGAATGGATGAAGATGTTTTATATATATATTGCTCAGCCATAAAGAAGAATGAGATCTTGCCATTGTGACAACACGGATGGACCTAGAAGGTATTATGCTAAGTGAAATAAGTCAGACAAAAAAGACGAATAGAATATGACTTAATTTATATGTGGAATCTAAGAAACAAAACAAATTAACAAAAAAACTGAAACAGGCTCATAAACACAGAGAACAAACTGATAGTTGCCAGAGGGATGGTGGTGGGAGAAATAAGTGAAAGGGATTAAGAGGTACAAACTTCCAGTAATAAAATAAGTAAGACATGGGGATGAACAATACAGAATGGGGAATATAGTCAATAATATTTAACGATGTTGTGTGGTGGCAGATGGTAACCTCACTTGCAGTGAGCACTGAGTAACGTATAGAATTTTCCAATCATTATGTTTGTACACCTGAAACAAATATAACATTGTATAGCAACTATATTTCAATAATAAAATTTAAAAAAATAGAATTGTCCCTGCCAAATATGTATGTTTTAAATAACTATTTGCTCTTAGAGTGTCTTCCAAAGCAAAATGTGATTATATTTCCAAAATCCTGCTGGAAGATGGGCTCCACTAAACGAGGCAGTCAGACAGGAAAGGGGTACACATAAGAAATGGGCTACAGAGGGGCGCCTGGGTGGCTCAGTCGTTAGGCATCTGCCTTCAGCTCAGGGTCCTGGGATGGAGCCCCGCATCAGGCTCTCTGCTCAGCGGGAAGCCTGCTTCTCCCTTTCCCACTCTTCCTGCTTGTGTTCCCACTCTCGCTCTCTCTCTCTGTCAAATAAATAAATTAAAAAAAAAAATCTGAAAGAAAAAAAAAAGAAATGGGCTAAGGAGAGCCAACATGGGGGAGGGGAAGAGAACATTTGAGATTACACTGAAGGCAGATCCCAGGATGATTACTGTACACCAGGACTAGCAAGCAAGCTGTTCCGACTGGGGCAGGTTAAACTTGTGACCAAGGACAAGCAGGACTCCCTATTCATGCCCACCCCCCTCTTGTTCCCGAGGGAACAGGTGGGCTTATAATGAAAGCCAAGAGATCCATCACTTCAGCTTTAGCATCCACAAGGATGAAGAGGATGGGCAGGACTGAATGCTTAGATAATAAAGAAGTGTCTTCCCAACAAGAGTGACTGTCCTAACTGGTATTTTCCTTTTAACCAATATGTGGCAAGAGCCTGATTCCAATGTAAAGAAAACACAAATCTTGAATCAAGAGCAATTTCTTATCTATATATAAAGCAAAGAATATCTCTGGAGGTTCTATTTTAGTGGTTCCCACTGTCTATAGGGCAGAACTCTGACACAGGCCAGCACCAAGTCCCCTCGATCTGAACCTAACCCACCTTCCTAACTTCAGCTCTACGTAGTGCCCCACCTGGAATCTCTATTGCAGATAGATTAGTGTAATTGCAATCACTTAACGTATCTTGCAGCTTTCTTCCCTCTACACACCCAACCTTCAGATTCCCTGACTCTGCCTATTTCCCCCTACCTACTTAGTCTACCCACTCATCAGGGTCTTATTCACCTTCCATCTCTTTCACGAGGGATTTCCTAACCACCTGATCTATGCATTTCTCCTTCCCCTGAGCAAGGAAGCCTCTGCATCCCTCACGGAGCTGGAGGTACTCGGGAAGCCTATGCTGATTGGCTTATTTTATAACCTCTTCACCATCACCTACCCCTACCACATTATGCAGAAAGTTTTTCATAGGCACTTAATTACTTCATGCAACATACATTTATTATTGTTTCTCACGTGCTTGGTGCATGGTGATCCTAAGACATGGAAAACAAAACCACTATCGTTAAGGAGATTAAAATCTATCAGGAGGTGACAGGCATCAATGATATAAGTGCAATAACGGAACTGGGCCCAGAGAAAAATGAGATCAGAATGACCACTTCCATGGAAAAGCCAGAGGGGGTAGGAACCAGAAATGCGGAGGCAGTAAATACATACACAATAAATACTCCTATTTGGCAGCACCAAAAATCAAATGTCTCCCAGAGGGCACAGGAGGTGTCAGACTGCAGTGTTCTTCAGAGCATTCACACCCTGTAGCAGAAGGGCTCCTGGAATGATGCTATTTTATGAGTCATTCATTCCAAAAATACTGAGAACTTAGGAAATGCCAGATGCGGCTCCATTGTCCTAGCTGGGGATATAGCAGAGAGCAAAGTCAGCACACATGTAAATAAATAAATAAATGTGAGAATCTTACATAGTAATAAGGGCTGGGAAGAAAATAAAACAGGATAATGGGATAGAGTGATGGGGGCAAGTCTTTGACTTCTATCCATTATTCTGCCAATGGCAAGCAAGATACCCCACACCCAATCCAACAGGCCAAGACTGCTTTTAGTTAATAAATATCACAAAATAGCACCAAAGGAAGATACTAATAATAGACCAAGCCACTACCTCAAGTGGACCCCCAGTCTCCCAGGCTTGAGCCAAACATGTGTGTATATACATAAACACACACACACACACACACACACACACACACACACAGTCACAAGGGGACTTTAGAATAGCACAGACATTCTACCCAGTCTAGTTGCTGCCACTCATTTGCAAGAGATCTAACACTGCCAGTTTGTTTTTCAATCAGTTTATTTCATCTTTGGATAACCTTCTAATTTCCCAGGTTAGGAAACTGACACACTGTGGAAGGGTGAGCATCTTTTTGAGACACCCCGAAATCAAGATTAGAATCTAGAGTGAAAGTTCCAGTCTCCAGGGTTTTCAATTAGTGGTTGGGCCTAAAGATGACATCAAATCTCTCCCCTACCTCCCAAAATGTTTACATTTCTCTCTTCTCCCATTAAAAGCCAAGAAAGCCTAGGGGTACCTGGATGGCTCAGACAATTAAACAACTGACTCTTGATTTCAGCTTAGGTCATGATCTGAGGGTCATCAAGCCCTGCATGGGGCTATGCACATGGAGCCTGCTTAAGATTCTTTCTCCCTCTGCCTTTGCCCCTCTCCCACATAATCTCTCTCTCTCTCTCTCCCAAAAACAAAAAATAAAATAAAATGTGATAACAAAAGCTAAGAAAGCCTGCAACTAAACGGAATAGCTTGAAATCAACCTCAAATTACTAATTCCAACTTTCAATGCCAATTGCTTATGATCCTTCTTCCCCATTACATTTTGCTCCCAAAACTTGGTTCAGTCGAAACGAATCCGGGGATATTACCTGAGAGTAAGGGCCATTTCCTTTACTTCTTTGATATCCCCTGTAGTGCTTAACATGAGGCTGGCACACAGTTCACCTTCAATCTTTTAGTTAGGTTCCGTTGAGCTTTATTTGTCTTAGACTGTTTACTTTGGTTGTTTCAACTGTTAAATGCATCCCTGTAGCTTGTGAAGGGGAGGGAGTGTGGAAGAGAGGCTTAAGTAAGGGGTAACTCTTTTGTAAACTCAGTCCTTCCCAGCCTTTTCAGGAGAAGCTACAGCGTGAATAATAATCTCATTATCCTTTCTCTCTTTTGTCTATGGGACAACCCTTCCAGGCTTGTCCTAGTTATTGAAGTCAGATCTGTGGGAAGAACTCGGGGAATGTGGTCACTTCATGTTTATCCTGTATTCCACCATCTCCCTCACACTAAACCACTGATCACATGTTTATTAACTTTTTTTCTTTTTCTTTTTTTTTAAGGAGAGACTCAATACACACTTGAAAATAGGTGGAAGGAATTCCCTTCGCGCCAAAGAAGCAATCCTCAAGAACTGGAAGCAGGCAGCAAAGAACATCCAGAAAGATCTTGGTCCCAAGAGGCTGCCACTGTCTCCAGATCAAATGCCTACAACCAAAATGGTCTTTTGACACTGCCTCTGAGCTCTGGCAATCTTGTCAAACCCACTTCACTCTACCGTCAGGCACTTTCTCCCACCTTTTCTTCCAGCTCACAGCCTCCTGCCCCAAGCCTGAAGGAAGTTTATGGAATATGCTTCCAGGCGATTCCACTACTACACGAAGTAGATAAGCTAGCAACTCTAAGTGGGCAGGAAATACGCCAGATGCCTTCTCTTTTTCTTCTCAGCCCTTTCTTGGGAAGGGGGATCTATGTAGTCAGGGCCAAACCCTTACCCTGCCTCTCCGTAACCCCTACCCCTTGGCTTCCACTTCGGTCTTAACCAGCCTTAAAACACGCTGGGCCTCTTCGAAACTCCCGACGGAGGTGTGGGAAAACAGGAAGCACCTTTACATCATTACACTGAGCGGGGTCACCCACCCCAGCATCAACCGAGCGGGCCACTGGGCAGAGGACGGCTCGGCCAGCGGGAGGGGCGGGGGGGACAAGGAGGCCGCGCGGGGCGTCGGGGCCGGTGCGTTCGCTCCTCCCTGCGACACCCGCGGGGAGAAGGCCGCCCGAGTGGAGGAAAGAGGTGGCGGGCGAGCGGGCGAGTCCTTCCCTGCAAGGCTGGCTCATCAGTGGGGACTCCGCCCGTACCGCCCGCCTCGCCGGAGCCCAGGTCAGGGATCTACCGGAGGGGAGAGGGCGGCCCCAGGGCCCTTCCAGGCCTACCTTCCCCGACTCCCTGGGCTCCATGGCCCCGCTTGCGGTGGCCGGTGCTGACCCCGCCACTGCCTCCAGTCCGCCCCCTCCCCCCGCGGCCTGGCCTGAAGATGCCGCCGCCGCGACCACCTTGGGGACCGGGGCCCCCAGGGGGCAGGGCGCCCGGACGGGGAGCGCGCACCGCCAGGAACTCGCGCTCTCTCGTCGGGAGAGCGGTAGCGCTCCCTGGGCCGGGAGAGGCGAGCGGCTGGGACTAGCGCCGTACCGAGCGAACCGCTTTACGGCAGCCGCCTGGCCCTAGACGGCGGGGCATCACGGGAAGCGTAGTCCCGCTTAGTTAAGCGGTTCTCAAACCGCTATTGGCTCCCGAAATGCGGGGCCTTGATTGGACGCCGAGCAGCTCGCTCTCCGCCCTTCCCGCCTAGCTGGAGGACCGTGGTTGTTAGGTAGCTCCCGCACCACGCTCTCCCAGACCGTGCATTGATGGCAAATCGTTTTCTTTGGGCTATGAGAATGCCTGATCTTGTGTCTGTTCCCTCTCACTTTTAGGGCCAGCGTCAGCCTTGAAGGTTTCAGATTTTATTTAATCTAGAAGGGATTTTTTTTTTTTTTAACATTCATTCAAAAAGCATCGTTGGTTGCCTGCCCCGTGCCAGGCACTGTGCAAGGTTTGGGAATGCACAGCTGAATGAAACAAATCTTTGCCTTCGAGGAGCTTATAGTCTATTGGGGAAACTGACCAGAAGCAGATAACTATAAAATAAAGACACAAGTGCAAGGAAAGAGGTAAGCACAAGACCCCACTAACGCACACTTTGTCACTGTCTAGAGTATGGTTGTGGGAATCTACGGGATGGTTAGTCAAGGATTTCCTGAGGAAGTGGCACCTGAACTGAATTAAGGGGTAGGCGGTAGCGAGGTGAAGTGCTATGGATGGAATTGTGTACCCCCAAATTTGTATGTAACCCCTATGTGACGGTATTTAGATGTGGGGCCTTTGGGAGGTAGTTAAGTTTAGACGAGATCATGAGGATGGGGTTCTCATGATGGGATTAGTGTCTTTACAAGAAGAGACACAGGAGAGCATGCTGTCTCTCTCTGCCATATGAGGAAACAGCGAGAAGGCAGCTGTCTGTAAGCCAGGAAGAGAGTCCCCACCAGAACCCAGCCATGTTGGCATCTTGGTCTTGAACTCCCATTCTCCAGAACAGTGAGAAAATAAATGTCTGTTGTTTAAGCCACCCGGTCTCTGGTATTTTGTTATGGTAGCCTGAGTTAACTAAAATGGGGGTGGGCGGGGGGAGGGAGAGAAATGTGTTGCAAAGAGGGCAGTTGGCCATAAGAAATAGCATAAGCAAAGCCAGACAGCTGAGCAAGTGGTGTGTGCAGGGATGGTGTGAGACAGGAAATTATGGGAAATGGCACTGGAGAGATACTTGGGGGCTGGATGTGGAAGGCAGTGTATGCTCCCTTAGGGAGTTTGAAATGAGTTTTAAGCCAGTGAATGGTGTGGGCAAATTTGCACTTTAGTTGGATCAGTCCTACTGCAGAGTAGAGGGTGAATTTTTTTTTAAAGATTTTATTTATTTATTTGAGACAGAGAGAGAGCACATGAGAGGGCGGAGGGTCAGAGGGAGAAGCAGACTCCCTGCCGAGCAGGGAGCCGAATGTGGGACTCGATCCAGGGACTCCAGGATCATGACCTGAGCCGAAGGCAGTTGCTTAACCAACTGAGCCACCCAGGCGCCCTAGAGGGTGAATTTAAGGAGGAAAGAAAGAAGACCAAACTCCATAAAAATATACTTGCTCTTTCTTCTCTAATCTTCTTTAAAAGACATGAAAGAAGACTTCACCTGCCTCCATTTTGACCTGTCTGTACTTCCTAACTGATTCAGTTCTTTCCAGCTCATGTCTTAACTCAGGCAAAGCATTCTGTGATGGGAACAAAGACTGTCCCCTCGAGCAGTAACCGCTGCCCTGAGCCAGCAAGACCCCACGTGACCGACCTCAAGACACTGATCAACCTGACCTTTCCTGCCCACCTGCATGTGCCCATCAACTTTTGTCCCACATTTGCCTTCTATAAACTTAGAAGTATTTTCAGCACTTTGGAGATAGTCTTTGAGACATTAGTCTGCTGTCTTCCTGGTGCTGGCCTCACTGAAATAAATTCCTTTCTCTTTTCACCACTGCTCATCTCTGTCTTTGGATTTTTGTCTGCAGTGAGTGGCTGAACCTGGTCTGCTTGGGACCCCCGGAGCCAGATGCCCTTGAACCCCTGTGCCCTGGTTACAGACATAAAAAACTATTTGAAGTTATTATAATAACATATTGTTTAGTTTGTAATATATATGGGTGTAATATGTATAATAATCATAGTACAAATAATAAATAGTAAAGTGCAGAAATCTTAAGGGTATAACTTGATGTGTTTTTGCATGCGTACCAGGTAGCCACCACTCAGATCAGATACAGAAGATTTCCAGCACTCCAGAAAGCTCCCTCATGGCCTTCCCTTTATGTATACATGGAGGGAAAAATGACAGAAAATAAGGAAGTGATTATTATAAAGGTGTTGGTAAAATTAACTATAAAAATGTTTGATGTACTTTTACATGTATGCGTTTTAAGTCACAATTCAAAGTTTTAAATAAAAAATCAAGCATAGTTTATGTTTAAAATTTTTATTAATACATATTGCCACACTGATTGTTAAATATTTTGAGTATCACCCCTGAGCAGGTCCCAAGTAACCATTTTCCATTATACTATACGACTCTGCTCTTCCAGCCAGGGTTGAATAGAGCTAAACTCAGCAGGGGTCAATGGGAATACCTTTTCTAGAAATGTGAGAGCATTCAATCCATGTGAGTAGAACTGTAATATTTGACCTCAGCTCAGGCTGCCATAACAACATAGAGAAATTTACTTTCCCAGAGTTCCGGAGACTAGAAGTCTCCAGTTGGTTGGTTCTGGTGAGATTTCTCTTCCTGGCTTGCAGGTGGCACCACCTCGCTGTGTCCTTATATGACCTCTTTTCTGTGTGTTCTCAGGGAGAGAGAGAGAGAGAGAGAGAGAGAATGAGAGAGAGAATGAGCTCTCTGGTGTCTCTTCTTCTAAGGACACTAATCCTATCAGCCTCCTGACCTCATTTAACATTAATTACCTCTGTATAGGCCCTATTTCCAAATATAGTCACATTGGGGTTTAGGGGGGAGTCAACAGAGGAGTTTGGGGGGAATACAATTCAGTTCATAGCTTCGTGTGCTTTGAGCAGCCTCCCTCTGGCCAGGTGCAGTCACCGGTAGGGGAGTCTGTGCTTCTGAGAAAGAAAAATGAGACAGATGCTCTGAAATGAGATCGAAGACTCCAGGTGGCCTTCTAATCTCCAGCTCCCAGCTCAGCCATAGCCATCCCTCTCTGTATGTACCTCAGAGAGCCGTATTTCTGCCCGAGTTATCCCTGTCTCCTTATAACAGATTCTTGTTTGGGGGTTTAAACACTGGAGGTAAGGTGGTTGAGACAGCTAGGGTTGGTAACTGAAAGAGTGCTCTCCATGAAAAGGTACAGAAAGATGGGGCAGTATCTAGAGGGAAACACCGGGTCAAGAGAGGAGGCTAAGATGCGAGACACGGGATAGTGTTTCTGTTGTTGTTGGGAAGGGAACTGATGGTTAAGCCCAGGTGGGGCAATGCGAGGACCCAAGACCTTGAGGAGGCAAGAGGAGCCAGGACCACAGCATCAAGGGCCGTTTCCAGGGGTAGGGATACTTCTAGATGACACCACGAGGGAAGAAGGAACAGCTGGAGTGGATGTCGGTTTGTTTTGTTATGGATGTGCTATAGATTTTCCCATCTGATGACATCTCTGTGGGACAAGGTCATCTCATGAAAATGACGGGGGAGTGGGGAAGAGAAGGCATGCACAGTCATTGCAGAGAACAGGAAATAGAGTTTACAGGGAAACAGAAGAGGTAGGAGGGTCAAATTGAATTAAAGGCCTGTTTGAGGTTTGTGATTACAAGTTCAAGGTAAAAACAGCCTATCTGCAAAATTCTGTCTAGAAGCAGAAACTTGGGCACATTTTTGAGTTAGAATATTGCCAGGTGGGGATGAATGGAGATAGAAAAGTGAGGGATTTAACAGTACTTGCATTGGAGTGATTTATAATGACAGAAAGGTGGTTCTCAGTTCCAGCTAGGTGCACATGGAATTACCCACGAGGTTTCCAAAGAATCTGATTTAATGGGCTCAGGATGGGGTCTGGGCATTGGTAGGGTTTCAAAACTCCTCGGGTGATTCTAATGCGCAGTTGGTGCTGAGAATCACCATGCAGACCGTGACTCCTGAGGGGAGACAGGAGGGAGCTAATGAAAAGTGAGAACCTGGTGGGCTCAATGAATTTGGAATAAATGATAGCAGTGGGGCACTAGAGCACGTAAGCTGGAAGGATGGGAAGTCGTGATCAGTAAGTAAATATTGGAAAGTGTTTGAAAACAGCTGAGTTCGTGGAGTGAAGGGGAAGGTCACTGTATATAAAGGGGTGAGAACTGAATGGATTATCCACATGGAGTGTCCATGACAAGGAATGGGACCCACCAGCTGAACTCTTCTCTGGATGAGGGGAAATGGCAGTTGGAAGCAGGAGAGGGTGGTGGAGCTGGGCAGCACCAACTAGACTGGGAGAGGGCTCTTTGCGGGACGAAGGGGCAGAACTGGCCAGCAGAAGCCATGCACCAGAGAACTTCAGACTTTATGTGCAACCTGCTGATGTGGAAACTGAGGCACATACATGGGAAGTGACTCGCCCAAGTTCACCAGCATGGCAGATTAACAGAAGCCTCCTGGAAGACAGTCCTTGTGCAGGTCAAGGTCAGGGCTCAGACCCACTCTGCCCCCCTTACCCCTTTGTCCCCAGAGGCAGACTCTGCACACGGGCTTGCTACCAGTGTCACTTTATTTGGGAGATGCTGGTACCAGGGCATGGAGTGGGCGGGTCGGCACGGGAGGAGGGAGTCAGTGCCTCCGAGCCCGGTGATGACAGGAGGGGTGGAGGCAGCCTCGTGCAGCGGAGCCGTCAGTGCTTTGAGAAGTCACCTCCTGGAGGACGAATGAGCGGGAGAGGCACTAGCAAGGAGGCAGTGGTCAGGCCCGGAAGGGGTGGACAGCGGCGCAAACTGGCAGGAGAGGGAGACCCGCCAGGAGGAAGGCCAGAGAAAGGCCAGCTCTTGCCCTGCGCTCCGTCCAGGCGGTACCAGTGTCCCTGCACCTGTTTCTCTCACCTGCCACAGTGTGGCCCCGGGTACCTAACGAGAACCGAGCACCTGGCAGGCGCTTCACACGTGCGCTCTCACTAAGCCCTCCCAACAAGCCCGTGCACGTTGTCAGCCAGGCGGTGAGGCTGAGGTCACGGACGCTGAGCAAGGAAGGAAAGAGACGGGCTGCTATGAAGCAGCTCTGACTGACTCCAAAGCCCCAAGCGTGCGTATGATTGGAGAAGAATCCAACAAGAGAGCCAAGAAGCGGGATGGAGCGGGTCAGAAGGGGTCAAGAAGGCAGAATCCCGCGGGGGCCTGCGAGTTGGGAAACGGACCGCCTTTCGGAAGGCCTGTGCCGGCCCCGCCCCGGCCCCGCCCCGGCCCCGCCCCGCCCCCGGAGCCCCCCCCTCCGAGCCCCCCGCCTGCCCCCGCCCCGGCCCGGCCCCGCCCACACCCACCCTGGCAGGCGCTGCACTGGCAGCTGCGGATGGCGGGCAGCACCACCCGCTCCGCGCGGCCGCCGGGACAGCGCAGGGTCAGGATCCGCACGGGGCTCTCGGGGTCCAGGCTGTAGCTGCAGCAGCCGCCCTGGCTCTGCCGGTACGGCTCCTGCGGGGAGGGGGGGGGCGTGGCTGAGCTGGGGCGGGGCCAAACGCGTTTGCCCAAAACCCCCGCCTTCCCTCTGGTGGCCTTCCCCATCCCGGGGAGGGCCAGATCCCAACACTCCTCGCCAAGCGCGGGAGCCAGCCGGGTCGGGGAGAAGCAGGGTTCTGAGGAGAGCAAGTGCAGGGCAGAGCTCAGTCCGTCTCCTGGGACATGCTCATAACGCCTTGCCAGGAATGTCTGGGAGGAGGCTGTGTGTAAACGGCCTGTCCCACAGAGCTTCTCAGTATAGGCTGGGCTGTGATTTCGGAGCCTAACTTAGCTCCTAATTTATGCCTTTCCTGTTCATGTCCTGGTAGGCCCACAGCAGGAGAAGACCCCCCTGGCAGGCGTGGAGGCCTGCTCTGGAGCCCAAGCCCGGTGGAGGTCACAGGGCCAGGCAGCAGGTGGAGACCACCACCTTGGTGAAAAGTCACCCGGGCTCTGATCTGCATCCCCTTGAGATTGACTGCATCCCTCACATCCCCGGGGTCTTTGCCCAGGTCTAGGCTCGCCGTGGTAGGCCCTCAGGGTGCACGGCAGCCCCCTGGCTCACCTCAGGCATGACACCGGTGCTGGGTGGACAGTGCCCGCTGCAGTAGCTCACTTCTACCTGGTCCAGGTAGCAGGGGCCCTTGGTGAGGTTGCGCAGCTCAGTGAGTGAGATGCCGGCAGGAGGCTGACTGCTCCTCTGTGGGGAGGAGCAGGTGAATGCAGGAGGTGGGGGCACGGCAGAGAGAGAAGGCCAACATGAGGGGACTCTGTGTGAAGGGGACAGCAGCGTGTGGACCCGAGGGGCACCTGCGGCTGTTGGGACAGGGGTGGCCAGGCGCCATGAGGCAGCGCTAGGGGTCTCCACTCCCCTAATCCTCATGGTAGGCTGCACTGGGGAAGGCAGGCCTCCTAGGGTGGGCATGGGGGTAGTTTGGGAGAAGGGCCCAGAGCAGGAAAAGGCACGGCAGGAAGTGCCCCAGGTCCCCGGCATACCCAGAGTCTCTTGGCGGCAAGTGGGACAGCAGCTCCCTGGCTCCTGCACGGTCACCTCGCCCTGCAAAGGGAGTGGTCCCCAGCCCACTCAGGAGGATGGCCCAGGTGCCCCGGCACTGCCTGCTCGAGGCCCTAAGACCAGCCTCTGGGGAGGGACGGAGGAAGGACCCCAGGGAGCTGCTCTGAGAGGGCAGCAGGGCTGCTGGCGGTACCTGGGCACAGGTGGGGGGGGTGGGCAGCGCTGGGTGCAGACACTCCTCCCACGGAGGCAGCGGCAGCTGTCACAGTCCTCCTGCCATTCGGATCGGGGCTGGGGAGAATGCGGGACATCCTCCTCTCCGCCTCGATCTCCGTCTCTCTGCTGGTTAGGCTTTTCTACGCTACTACCCCCTCCCTGAAACCAGCAGCCAGCGACTGAAGGCGGCAACAGGAGTTTCAGGAGGGAGGTGGGCCGACAGAGCCCAGAGACTGTCCCAGTGGGATGGCCCTGGCATAGAGCGGAGGAGCCCGCGGACGGGAGGGAAGCCTGGGTTGAGGAGGGGCAGCGGTGCCTCACCGGGTGGGGATGCCCGTGGCGCCAGCACTCGCAAGTGGTCCACGGGCGCGCAGAGGCCCGCCCGGCTGCGCAAGTGCCCGAGCCGGCACACACAGCCCGGGGCCCGCCCCGCACTGCAGCTGCCCTGAATCTCCGTGGCGTTGGGCTCCCGGCACGTCCTCTCGCACAGCCCCAGCTCCCCAGGGGGCACCTGCTGCCACATTTCCCCGGAGGGGCACTCTGCCAGGGAAGACCCCACCACCACCACCACCACCACTCAGGTCAGCCCTAGGTCCAGCCTTGATTCTCCCCCGTCCCACGCCAGGCACCCCTAGAGTCCCTCCTCCCTCCCCAGTGCTGCCCACTCTGCACTTGTAGGGCCTCCAAACACAGCCCTCTGCTCTCACGCACCTTCCCAAATACCAGCAGGGCCTAACTCGCATCTTGCCTTTTCCGGGAAGCCTCCCCTGACTGGTCCTGTCCACCGTGACCTCTCCTCTGGTGGCACTGATTTCCCGTCCTGTGGGTGCAGCCTGCTTGTCAGTGGGCCAGAAACCGTCTCCTGTCTCTGTTCTGGGGGGTCAGTCTGCCCTCAGCAGCAGCACCAGGCTGGGGTGCTCGGGTCCCACCATACCTGTGTGCCTCTGAATCCACACAGAGCCCAGGGTGCCAGGGCGGGGCACAGGTGAGCCCTTAGCAAAGGCCTGTTGACTTTGACCAGATGGGGGCAAAACAGCACAGGGCAGATACCGCCTGCCTGGGGACTGCCAGACAAAGACCCTGTCTTAGCTCATGCTCTCAACCTTTGCTTCCTCCTCTGCAGGGAAAGAACCCTCCACTTCCTGCCTCGCTCACAGCCCTGCTCTGGGCACACACAGGAATGCCCTCAACATCACTGTGGACAGAGCAGGGAAGGGGCTTCTTGAAAGAGATAGCATTGCCTTTGTCCTCAGCAGGGCCAACCACCCCCCCCCGCCCCGCGCCCCCCGCCTTTGGAAGGACCAGCAGGGGCCTAGACAGCCATATCTCACCGTGACAGTCGGCTAGGGAGCAGTTGAAGGCTCCATCTCGGCAGATACTGGGAAGACAGAAGCATGGGTTCCAATGCCTCCGAGGCCCTGCTCCCCACCGCCATTCTCAGCAGCCCTGCCCTCCACCCCCTCCCCACCTCAGCCCCCTGGTCCGCACCAGCGGGTACAGTTCCAGATGAGCACAGTCCCTGGGGGAAGCTCCCGGGCCTCGCTCTTCAAGGGGCAAGGTAAGGCCCCACGGCAGAGAGGTCGGGGTGCAGGGGCATGCAGCGGGGGGCACACACGTGCCACTGTGCAGCAGCTGGGGTGGTGCGGGCTCCAGTTACACTCAGACCCACTTCTCCCCCTCCCCCCACCGGGCTGCTCCCCCTACGGGAGTCGGGACACGGCACCTGGACATACCTGCTCTCCAGGGCAGCCGCAGCCAAGCTGACAGGGTTCCTGCACACAGGGGCACCAGGCTGCAGATGCGAGCAGAGGCGTGAGCACGCGGTGGCACAGGCTCTGAGCACCTGGCCAGGTAGGCACTCTGGGGTGGGGGGGAGCGCACAGACAGTGAGGTGGAGTCCTGAGGAAGGGACTGCTCCCGGGGAAGGGACTGTCTCCCGACTGGCCCCCTGCCCTGGCGAAGGCCAGCTGGGACGGGGGCCAGAGCTCAGCGGCACTAGAGGGAAGGGGCAGGTGCCCACCACCCCAGGTGCTCACCAGGGCAGGGCGTCAGGTTACATTCCTGCCGCTGCTCTGTGTCCCGGCCCTGGCATGGTACCCCCGCAGGACCCTCCTCACAGCTCCGATGACCCTCCGTAGTGCCCCCACCACAGGGAGCAGAGCAGCTGCTCCAGGCTGACCAAGGCCCAAGGACAGGGCACTCGTGGTGTGGGCACATCAGGGACCCGTTGATACAGGTGCTGTGGACAGGGGTCAAGGGCACGAGTCAAGGGGAACAGAGCCTTTGTTTCCCAGTAATGCCCATAACCCTGACCTGCCCCAAGCCTCCCACCCAAAGCTCCCGAGCCCCCCGCTTGGCCACCGGTGGGCAGCCATACCAGTTTTGGCAGTGCACCTGTGCCACCTCAGCTGGGGCCACCGCCCATGAGGCACTGGGGCTGGGGAGGCCACAGCGGCAGGAGGAGATGGGCACGCAGGGCCCATCCTGTATTAGTTGGCCAGGCGGGCAGCGGCAGCCTGGGGGTGGGGAGCAGAAGCAAGATTCACGCTCCACAGGCACACACAGAGGATCCCCCTGGCCGCCCGTCAGAGTCCAAAGCCTCAGGCGCACCCTCCCCCGGCCCCAGCCCCAGCCCCCACACTGTTTCCACCTCTGGAGCACAGGAAGGGGTCGCTCTAGCCTGTGTGGGCCCCACCCCAGGAACCCTTGAGGCTGCCTGAGAGCATCTTCACAGACACAGCCCATCTTGGCTAAGGCTCGCTCTCTGCAGGAGCCCTACCCAGTTGCCGAAAGTGACCCAAGGATCCACTTTGCTGCCCTGTCACCCAAGATCCAGTACAGGAGCATGCCCCCGCCCACGGGTCTCATGCTCTCTGGAAGCAGGAGGCAGCGAAGCAAGCTGCCCTGCTCAGAGGCCCTAGAGCTCCCAGGCTGGGCTGCAGGCATGGCCTGGCCACCTGGGCGGCACGGCCCTTGCAGACACCGCACGTGGTCCCAGAGGTCGGCACAGCTTCTGGGGCATCGGTTGGCACAGTCAAGGGTGGGCACGGTGTCCCGGGCTTCGCAGCTCTCCCCTGAGGACCAGAAGGTAGGAGTCTGTGTTGGGGGCCAACTCTTGGGCCCCCCAGGACAGCACCCTCCCCTCCCCCGCATGCCTCTAGCAGCAGAGGCAACAAACATCCTGCTCAGGCGCTATCTTGTATGTTACAGTCCCTGGCCCCTCCCCCCCAGATTCTGCCATGGGAGTTACCTGGGCAGGGCCCCACATTGCAGCTCTCAGTCTGAGCCCATGGCCCCCGGCAGCCCCCTCCAGCGGGTGCCGCTGCCTCTCTCCAGCGTAGCTGGAAACCCCCACTGCAGGGCACCTGGCAGGGGCTCCAGGGCCCCCAAGGACTCCACTGGCCTAAGTCTGGGGAGACAAAATGGAAGTCAGTACCCAGGGCCCACCTCCCCTCTGCCTCTTGCTTCCACCCCAAGGCCTCAGGCTCTAGCCCTGCAGACACTCTGACATGCCCTGAGCCCCTCAGACCCCCTTCCTCCTTTTTTCAGTGGCTGCATGGATGCTCCCTGCTGCGGGCCCACCCAGCGTGAAATCCAGCAGGCCCTGGGGGCAAGCAGGAGGCTTAGCAGGCCTGCTAACCCCCTGGCTACTGAAATAAACAGCATGGCCCAGCCCTACCTGGCCAGGTGCCCCACCACTCTCATTTCAGGCTCCCTGCTGCCCTGTTGGTCTCTGCCCCTCCTCATTACCACGGCAGGCCCTCGGGTCCGGGCAGAGGCGCTGCTGGCTGAGTGGTGCGGTGCAGAGGTCTGGGTCTCCAGCCCACGGCCTCCCCGTCTCAGGGTCCAAACAGAGGCGATGGCGGTGCTGCCCCGAAGCCAGCCAGGGGGCCAAGGTCGGGGAGCGGCCAGCTGGGTGCTGAGACCAGCGCTCCTCTAGCACAGTCCTGGAGGCAGGGGCCAGCACGCCACGGGGCAGGCAGGGCCCACAGGGTGACCGCTTGGACCACCCACTCAGAGGAAGAAGACCTAGGAAGGGCAGCGAGTGGGCACCTTCCCAGGGACCCTCCCCTGACCACAGATCCCAGTGGATGGGGAGGGAGGAGCCCCAGTTATGACCAGGAAGGGCTGGAAATGGGAAAGGCTGTAGGAGGTGTCAGGGAGCCAGGGTAGGGTGACCCACTGTCCTGGCTTGTCTGGGACTGTCCGAGTCCCAGCACTAAGAGTTCCAGACTCGGGAAACCGCCCCCCACCCCCAGTCCTGGGCAAATGGGGACAGCTGGTCTCTCAAGTCCAGAGTTACCTTGACAGCCCTGGCTGGTGCAATGCAGTTCTCCGTGCTGGCATTCACTGTGGGAGGGGGTGGTCGGGGTAGGTTTGCCGAGGCAAGACTCAGCCCAGAGCGGTGGTTGGGGGGCTGATGTAGGGGCGACGTGGGCTCTGGGCTCATTTGGAGCAGGATGAGGTTGGAGCTGGGCCCCGGGGCCTGGGGGATTTCCCTGTGGGGCCTCCTCCCCGCCCCCCATCCCCTGACCCCAGCCCTCTGATGCTGCCTCCCTGACCCCATCACTCACCACTCTTTGCAGCCCAGGTGCAGGCGTTCCCCGGGGGCCAGGGTCACCGTGGCTCCTTCTCCTGTGAGGTGCAGGCAGCTTCACTGCTCTGGGGGAATGCAGCCCCCGGCCTGCTCCAGCAGCCCCTGAGCAGAAGGGGACATGGAGACAGGGCTGTGTGGCAGCCATCTCTGTACCCTGGTGCCATACTGTGTCTGCTCACGGCGGGTGAGCCAGTGGTGGGCACGTGGGCACGAGGCAGAATGTGAGGGGCTCTTCAGGGGCACCATGCAGAGGGGCATCGCCCTGGCATCACGGAAGGGAGGCCGCGTAGGAGTGTGGACAGAGCCCCCCTCCTCCTGGGGCACCTCCCCCAGCCCCACCCCTCACCTCTGGACAGTAGCAGCCCGGCTGGCAGGGCGGCAGGTCCCGGCAGAGCCGATGGCTCAGGTGTGTGGCGCAGAGCCCGGCACGGGGTGGGGCACAGGCCCGGAACTCAAAGGGAGGTGTGCAGCTGTCCTCTGTGCGGGGAACAGAGGCTGGTGGGGGGTCGCCCAGAGACACCCTCCACGCCCAAGCCCGGAGCACACAGGACACGATCCCCTCCAGGCCCCTTGGGGTCTCCCTGTAAGAGTGCAAACCTGCCCCCAGGCTGCCCTAAGGACTGGCTAGTGTCGCCCCATCGAGTGCCCACTCGGCCCCCAACGGTGCCTCTAGGAAGGGTCATGATGGTTGGGCCGCGGAGAGCCAGGTAGCTGCGTGGAGGATGGGGCCTTCGGGGAGCTAGGGGCCTGGCAGGTGCTCCCGGGGTTGGCGGATGGGGGACAGGAGGGTGGCCACCACAGGAGGTGGGCAAGACCTTCTGTGCCCAGGGGGCTGCTACAAGTGGACAAAGCCTGCAGCTCCAAAGCGGGGAAATGACAGCGGAGCCGGGAGGGGAGAGGAGCGGAGCCTCGGGATGGGATGTGCGAGTAGCTGAGGGTGAAGCAGGGGAGTGACCGGGCTGCTGAGGGCGCGGCTCAGTGCAGGCAAGGGCACCTGCTCCGAGGGCCCCGGGGCATGGAGGTCGGCTTGGAGAGGAGCTGGGAGGCCCTGCTGGGGCTCAGCTGTCTGGCGTCTCGCTCCTGGGGCCTCATCCCGAGCAGTTGCCAATGGGGTAGTGCCGGAAGTGGCCGTCCAGGCGCGTGCAGGGAGAGCCCTCCCGTGCCGCTCCCGCTGTGGGCGCTGGTCCCTGGTGCCGGTAGCGCTGCTGGACCAGCACCTGGCATGAGCATCGCGTCCAGCCGCTCCAGCTGCTCCACAGGCACTCCTCTAGGGACCAAGGTGGGGGGGGTGCCAGCCAGGCTCCTCCAGCCTCCCTCCTCCTTCCCCTCCCCTTCACTCTTCCCCCAGCCCCAGCCAACACCCTGCAAAGCAAAAGGGCAAAAGGGAGCCAAAAATTCAGACAAGTCCTAATTTGCTGTGTTCTCTGTCACCCAGGGGCGAGGGGCGCATCCCAAAGAGCTCAAAAGGAGAAGATGGTGAGAAGAGGAAAGAAACTAGCAAAATATGAGGGAGATAGATACACATTTGAGGGAGCAAATCTGGGGTTTGGGAAACCATGTTACTTGCTGAAGTTTCCTGAGGCAGGCAATCAGAGGAGCGGGCTTCGCTGCCCCATGCACACTCACCTAGGCAGGGCCCTGGGTAGCAGGCCTGGGTGTCCAGGTGGAGGAAGGTGCCGTTGCAGGCGGGGTCGACTTCAGCCCGTAGGCACGGGCAGGACCCAGAGCGGGAGGCCAGGCCTGGGCCACAGCTGCGGGAACAGGGCCCCCACGGGCCCCAGGAGCAGGCCTCCAGCAGCCCCAGGCAAGACTGCCCTCCACAGCGCTGGGTCCGGGTGCCAGGGCCCAGGCAGGGGGCCCCCCTGCGGGCAGCGGCCGAGGCCATGCAGACCCGGGTGTGAACCCGGCTTCCACCTCCACAGGAGACAGGGCATTCAGACCAGGGGGACCAGAGCGTCCAGGCCCCGGGTACTGTGGGAGGGCACAGGTGAGGTTAGAGAGGCCGGGGGGGGGGGGGGCGAGCATTCACCGCACAGGGGGATGGCAGCGGTGAATAGGGCTGGGAGGGAAATGTGAGACAGAGCAAGCAAGCTGGCCTGAGGCTAGGAGGGTGAGGGAGGGTGGGATTGGGATGGAACCCCACTCGCTGTCTTCCGGGGTGCAGGAGCTGAGGGCAGGAGCCCGGACTCAGGGACGCTGCCCTCCTACAGGACAGTACCACCCTGTCCCTCCCCCTGCCCCAGGCTTACCACTGCTGACACTCGCCCTGCAGCCAACTGTCCCCAGGGTGTGGAGGCGGGCACCATGCAGGCACAGGGGTGGGCACGGGGGCTGAGGGCAGGGCTGGCTCTGGGAACTGCTCCTCCCGACACTCTGGGGCCCACGAGCCCGATGTGGAGGACCTGGGTGGGGCCCGGGGCAGAGAAGGTGAGAGACAGCCCAGGGCCCTTCATCGCTCCGCTGTCTCCTGGTGAGACACCTGACGGGCAAACCTGGGGGGGCTAAGGAAAGCAAGGATGACCCGGGCCAAGAGCTGGGGCCAGAGCACGGGGGGTATGCCCGGGGGGGGGGGGGGGGGGGGGGGCAGGATCCAGGAGCTCTGTATCAGAGAGGAAGACCGAGTCCAGGCGGTGGGAGACTGGGGTTGGGGGAGGTGACGCTAGCCTGGCCCAGCCCCATACCGGAAGCGGCTCTGCTGCCCCTCGGGCCCACACGAGCTGCTGCAGGGACTCCAGGCTGACCAGCGGCTCCAGGCGCAGTGGGCAGGCGGTGGGCAGGGCTGAGCCGTGCAGGAGAGGCGCCCAGCTTGGCAGGTGCAGGTGCTGCAGACCTCCTGGTGCTGGCTGCCCGGGGCCGGCCCTGGGCCTCTGAACACTCGCAGTGCCCAGTCGGCACGCAGCCACCGTCCTGCTCCAGGAAGCCTGCGGGGGAGGCAGCCCTGCAGAGTTGCGCCGGGGCCCACCGGCCTTCCCACTGAGCCGCGCTGACACGCCGCGGGGCCAGGGCCGCCCCAACCCTCGGAGCAGCGGCAACCCGGCTGGCAGGCCTGGCCGTCCTGACACGCGATCCCCTTCTGGAGGTCTGAGCGGCGGCGGGGGCAACGGTTGGCACAGCTGACCGTCTGCATGCCTGCCGGGCAGCCCTCCTCTGAGCAGACAGGGAGGACCTGAGTCAAGAGGGGCCCTGAGCACCGGGGCTCAAACCGTCCGCCTGCCTGCCCGGGAACTGCTCTTACCTCCACAAAGCTATACTCCCAGCCCTCTCCCCCTGCTGGTGCCCGTGGAAACGTGGGGTCCTGGGGAGACCCGTGGGATCGGGACGTTCTGCGTGACAGGGAGTCCCTCTTACCTACCTGGGGGTTCTCAGCACCTAGCCTGGCACCCACAAAATGTCACTGAGCTGGACTGAACTTGTGCATCTAAGAACATGCTCACTTCCACAGCTCCTTTGTGTTCGATATGAGGGATACTGGGGAGCTCGGAAGGACCAGTAAGGACCAATGAGGAAGCGAAGCTGGGAGCGGCGTGTCTGCAAGTGGCCACCCACACCCCAGGAGCAGGTGCACTCCTGACTGTAACCCTCAAATCCTCCGGAAATCTTGACCGGGCTAGGTGGTTCTTCAGGAGATGGGAGGGTGGGCAAAACTTCGAGAACCAGTTCTGGTGCAGGGTGCGGGCAGGCAGGGGCAAGCATTCTGGCAGCTCAGCCCTGGCCACAGCGAGTCCCCGCGCACGGTACCCGGATCCCGCCATACGACCCTGCGGGCCTGTTTTCTCTGCTGGCTACTGAGTGTCTCCGTCGCAAGGTGTCGTGGGAGTTAAATTAGGGGTGGGATGGGGAGAGCTGTGCAGAGGGCAAAGGCCACCAGGGATGCGCTATCCCCACCACCATACCACAGGGCAAGGAATTGCAGAGACACGCGTGGTGCCTCTCCCCAACACAGGGGGCACCCCTGTTCTTGGGTGGGGGGCTTGAGCAGCTGTGACTCCTCGGGGATCCCCCCCCCCCCACAGCTCCGGTCACACCAGGACCAGGGACTCCAGCGTGACCAGCCTCCATGCACTGCATGGCAGAGAGAAGGGCCACATGAGGGATGATCTAGCTCAGGCAGAGGGCCCCCCCCCCATGCACCAGGAGCCTTGGGGCAGGGTTCTCGCGCTAAGATGGAAGCGCCACAGGGGCACCTGGGGCCATGGAAGGGCCTGCGCTGGTCCTTAGCAGCCCTCCTCACCTGGGCAAGCCCGCAGGTTGCAGAAGCGGTTCTCCTGGTAAGCGGTAAGGATGTCGGGGCACCAGTGCCCACCGGGCCCTGGGGGACGGTAGGCCCGCAGACGGCGCTGCTGGCCCACCCCGCAGCTTCGGGAGCAAGGTTCCCATGGGGCCCAGGCGGTCCAGGAACAGTTCCCAGCCACACAGCCAGGGCTGGGGCACAGGGGCAGCCCTGCGGGCCGGGACAGGACGGAACGAAGCGAGCTGGAGCCAGCCCTGACTCCCCCGCCTCAGCCCAAGCGCAGAGCTCCTCATCCACCGGGCCGGCCAGGCCCTCGTCCAGACCTCTGGGGTCCTGTTTCGGATCTGATACTGGCTGTTTCGAGGCTTTGGCAACGAGGTCTCAGGGGGCCGTGCGTGGTCCCAGACTCACCGGAATGCTCAGGGATTCAATGGGAATTTGGGTGAGTGTTCAGTACACACACAAGTGAGGGTTTGCCGGTGTGGGCAGGGCCTGGAGGCCCCAACAGCTGCCCAGCCTGGCACAGAGCACCCCGGGTCCAGAGTCACACATGGATTCATGATTCCATATCAGTCTGAGAACTCGGTATTTGCTTCAAGGGTATTAGATGTTGGGGTTGGGAGGTTGGACATGGGTTGGGGGTCAGAATGAGCTGCTGGAGGGAGGATGCTGGGCTTAGAGGGGACGGCCATGGTTCAGACACGGGTCAGGGTCAGAGGTCAAGACTGGAAGGCGCACCTGTGCAGGAGGGCAGGTTGCAAGGGCGCTCCTGTGACGCGTCCCCCCCCCCGGTGCAGTTTGCCAGGCATAGGCAAGCACGGCTGTGCCAAGCAGGGTGAGTGGCGTCTGTGCAGGTGTGAGAGCATGGGGACCATGGGCCCCAGCCGCCTGCGAGGATAGGAGGGAGAAGCATCTCCTGTTGAGTCAACCCTGGGCTCCCGGCCTCCCGGGAAGCAGGGCTGGGGAGGAAGGAGGCTCTGGGCTTGTTTTCCCAAAGGGAGGCCACGTGCGAGGGGTACAGCCAGTCTGGGGCTGGGACCCACGGAGTCTGGGCTACCTGGAAGGCTTGTCACGGGCTCCACTGTGGACCCTCCAGCCCCTGTGCCAAAGAAAAGCCCTGCTCAGGATGTTTCTGAGTCTGCAGTGCCCCAGGACCAAACCTGAGGCTGGTGGCCCAGTTCTAAACCCACCCCTATCTGATTCAGCCCTTCCCTCCTGCTGGGTCTCCCACGGGCCCTCCAGGCCCCAAGCGCAGCGAGACTCGCCCTTCCCACTTCCCTCACCTGGGCAGTCTGGGCTAGAGCAGTACTTGAGGTCCCGGCGGGGCCCACCGCAGCCCTGGCTGCCTGGAGCTGGGGAGGGCCGCACACGCTGGCGGGTGCAGGTTCGGGTGCCCAGCCCACCAGAGGAGCGGGAGCATGGGCCCCATGGCCCCCAGGGACTGAAGCCATCAACAGCCTTGGAGCAGTCCCCCACCGAGCAAGACAGCTGCCCATGCACACAGGAGCTGGGGAAAGGGCATGGGGGTGAGGTGCGGGCAGGATAGACCCTGAGAGAAAGGGGGGTGGGCAAGGGTATCCGCCCCAAAGGGTGAAGGGACAGAGCCAAGGGTAGTCAGGCCAGGCAAGGGCAGGGCAGCCGGTGTCTCCCCCTCCCTTGGCTCCAAATCTCCCCCACTCTCGCCATCCCCTCACCAGTTCCTGCAGCCTGTACGAAGGCTCTGGCCTGAGCCCAACTCATCCCCAGGCCCAAGGGGCTGACCACCCTCTCCCAGAATGGGGGGGGCGAGCCCCAGGGTCAGCGCCGGCAGCTCCCAGCTCCCACAGCAGCGAGGCGGTGAGCACACAAGGGCGCTCCTGGCGGGGCGGGAGCAGAGGGGGAGGTGCAATCGTCTAGGCCCGGTGCCCGCTGTCTGCACTGCGGCCCAGGGAGGCGGGGAGGAAGGCATGTGAGGCTGGGGGTGCTGCTCTGGGCCCCAGAAGAGCATTCCCTGGAGCAAATGGGACAGTTTCCCTGAGTCAGGGCTGTGAACATGAGAGACTAGTGGCCTATGAACTTGACCCGAGATGGCCAGTGGCTTTCTTGCATACAGCACTTAGCTAGGACCCAGGCAGGGTCAGCAGAAGTCCTTCCAGGGCAGGACTTGGAGAGAACACGGAGGTGGAAAGAGGCTCAGCCAGGAATCAGACACCCGGTCCCTAGTTTTACCGATAACTGTCTACATGACCCGGTGTGTCCCTTTCCTTTCTTGCAGCTCACGCAGTGTCATCAGCTCTACGTCAGGCAGGTGGCTGCTCAGGCCCTTCTGGAACTCTGGCTGGGGGCAGCCACCCGACACCGGCTTCGAGCTTAGGATTAAAGCCTGGGACCAAAATCCCCACGCACCTGGAGAGCTCCGCAGAGCACAGCTGGCACCTGCCTGTTGTCTGGACCCCAGAGCGGGAGACAAGGAGTCTGGGGCAGAGTAAAGGTGAGGGTATGCTCCCCCACCGGGGTGTGGCAGGGAAAGGGGGCAGTGAAGACCCACGATTCCCGGCTGTGGCCTGAATGGTGTGGAGAGCACTGGGCCTGGCAGGAAACTGCCCTGAGGGCAGGGGGGCACCTGGCCCCACGCCAGCCACGGGCGGCTCCACGTGGGAGCCCCCCCCCCCCGCCACGGGAGCTGGCAGCCAAGGAGTCGCTGCTGAAGAGCAGGAGCCCAGGCAAGGCCCCCGTTCCAGGGAACCGGTGACATCACCCCAGCTGCCTGCTCGGGGAGCTCCACCTCTGCCTGACTGCCCCGGGCAGCCAAGGCCTCAGACAGCCTGGCAGGCCGAACGCTTGCCTGGGGTCACGTGAGGAAGCGGGGCGCTGTCCAGAGGACAGGGTCTGCAGGGCTGAGCAGCTGTGGGTGAGAGGGAGGAAAGGCAGGGGAGGGGAGGGGAGGGAGGGCTTGGGCTCCTGGCTGAGAGGGTTCTGACCTGGACACAGGACAAGCGGTGCTGGAAGGTGCCCACGGGGCAGTGGCAGCCCTCCCCGCAGCCAGCGGAGAAGCAGCCCACCTGCCGAGTGACGTGGGAGCAGGAGAAGGGGCATCCCTCGCCGGGGGGGCGCTCCTGGTACAGACGTCCAGCCGGGCAGCCTGCCTCTGGGGCAACCCTTGCATCAGGGCCCGGCTCTGGCCTGTGCTGCCCACGGTGGCTCCTTCGACGCCCACCCCGCCACCTGCTTACTCGCCCCTGCGCCCGCCCTCCCATGGCTCCCCAGTTGTGCCCACGATATCCTCCCTGCGTTGTGCCCCTCGGGGCCAATGTCACACCCTCCCACAGGCTCCCCTCCCTGAATCTGGCTACTTCCTCCTCCTCCTGCCCACCACTGGCCCCAGGGAGAGGGCAGCCCATGCGGATGGGATGGAAGAGGGCAAAGACACCTTTGAGTCTGTGTCAAAGGCCAACGTAGGAATCCAACCTAAGTTAGAGCGTCAAGGGCGGAACCTGGGCTGGGGCTCACCTCTGCAGACCTGGGTGTGGCAGGTGCGGCTCTGGCGGGCAGGCCCAGGGCAGGGGGGCCGGGCACGTCTCCGGGAGCGGAGCTGCTCCCCTCCTCCGCATGAGACACTGCAGTCCTCCCAGGGACCCCAGGGACCCCAGGAACCCCACATCCCAGGGCCGGGGCAGCCAGGCACCTCTCGGCACTTCAGGAGGCCCTCCATACAGGTGCTGGGGACAGGGAAGGGGGCTTCAGAAGACAAGAGCCCGGCCACCTCCCCCACGGGCCCTACTGCCCGGCTCTGCAGCCCACTCCCCTCCCCCTGCTTCCCTGGGCTCACCGGTTGTCACAGGGCCCAGTCACCACCTCTCCAGGTTCCAGGCTCTCCCAGGAGCCAAGCCCAGGCCCTGCTGACCGGCTCTGGTTCTCAGGAATCCCTGAAGGCATGAGTGGGGGTGGGACTCCAGATGGCTCAGGGTGCCCCCCACCCTGAATCCCTCCTCCTACCCCACTGCCTTCCACCTCCCTCCCTCCCTCTCAGCCCTCACCCCATGGCGCCCCAGATCGTGGGCCTGGGAGATGGAAGCCCCAACCAGAGCAGGCCCGGGATGCCGTGGGATCCGCGGGAGACGACGCCTGGAGCATCGGAGAGGACGGGTTGCCCATTTCCATCCTGCCGCTCCGGGCTGGGTCCTGCGGGCAGATGGGCGGAGGCCAGGCGGGCGGGCATTGCAGTGCTCGGGGGTCCTTGGGAGAGGGCAAAGGGAAGCACTGAGCCATGGCTCCAGGCTGGTAGTGGCAGCGGCAGCGGCAGCAGGCGGGAGGCACACAAAGACCATCCTGGGACAGCTAGCCGGGGGGGGGGGGCACCCACAGCCAGGCTGGCAGCCCGTTGGGCCTGGCTGGCACACTCCCAGGAGACAGGTCCTAGCAGGAGCGGGGACAGGGCCACCCGCAGGGGAGAAGACCCTGGCCATCCCCACAGGCTGTGGCGGGACGGAAGCAGAGAGGGTGAATGCTGAGCAGGGGCCCAGCCTGAAGGATGCCAGCATGCAGGTGACAAGCCCTCCTGCCACGCCCTCCACCTGCTTTGCCTTCCACTTTGCCCCAGGATTACGGGGTGAGTGATCTAAGGGCTGCCCCACGAAGGAAGCGACATGCATATGTATACTGCTGTCAAAAGTCAGAAGTAGCATCTCCCTAGCCTTCTAAGGGACCCTCCCAGACCTCTGCAGAAGCCCTCACCTGTGCATTGTGTGGAATTGTCTTGGCAGGGGCGACTCTGCCTGTAGGCCCCAGGGCAGGGCCTGCCTCCTTCAGGGGTGGGGGGGCCAGATACACCCCGGCTCTGATGGGACTGCCCCAGGCACGGGTCACAGGGAGACCACAGTCCCCACGGGCTCCAGGCTCCATCCACTGTGCCAGGAAGACAGAATCACCTGCCCTAGGAGGCCTGGGAGGTGCCCAGCCTATTGAGATTTGAGCAGACTAGTGGGGGCATCTCACCTGGGCAGTCGGGGGGGCTGGGGCAGGTCTCCTTCTGATGCTGGGCCCCTGCCTCCCCTGCTTTACCGGGGCACGGGGTCCCCCCGTGCTGAGGAGCGGGGCAGGTAGAGGCCCTGGAGCGGGTCCTCGTCTGACCCCTGCAAGGCTGGGAGCACGCTGTCCACTCCGACCACGGACACCAGCCACCCGGCACTGCAGGGGACGATGGAAGGGCACTGGGGCGCAGGCGTCCCTTCCCCAGTCCCAGTCCCCTCGGTGACCTTGGCCAGTTTTCCTTGCCTCCCCCCGAGCTGGGACACACGTACCTGGGCAAGGCAGGTCTGTGCAGTTCAGCCTCCCCTCCGAGCAGGTGCTGGGCGGGGCATGCAGGCACAGGAAGGAGAGCGGCAGCTCAGCCCTCCCCTGCCCTCCATGCGCACCCCTCCGAAGCTGCCTCTTCCTTTCCCCTTACCCCAATGCCCCCCTTTCCCTTCAGGGTCTCAGATGCCCTCTGGCCATTCTCCAGAGCACCCAGACCCTGCTCTCTGTCCTATTCAGGGACCCCTCAGGCGTCCTGTGGGCTCTCTGCTGGTCACTGGCTGGTGTGTCCTACTGGGGAAGGGCCAGAGGTAGTCTGCTGCTGACCGGGGCCAGACAGTGAGGAGGAACACGGTGCCTGTTACCCCTCCTTCCCCTCCGAGCACACACCCAGCCTGCCATGTCTCCCAGAGGGCAGACACACAGAGCTGGCTGCCTCGGTTTCCCCACCGATCAGACACGGGTGAGCGTGCCTGCCCGCATCTCCTTGGGGATCGTGGGAGTCTAACCTGCATCCGCTGAGACCCAGGAGAGCTCAGGTGCAGCCCGCCCTCACCCAGGCCCCTCCAGCCGCCCACGCGCCCGCCTCACCAGCAGTTGCAGCCGTCGGGCCTGGGCAGCTGAGCCCCCAGCCAGTGCCGCTCCCTGCTCAGCAGGTCCAGGCAGTCACAGTGGCCGGGCGGCACGCAGAAGACCCTGTCGGCGCTCAGCACCTGGCCAGGAGGGCAGTAGCAGCCGGGCTGGCAGCACCACATGCAGTGCTGGGGGGGTGGGCAGCAAGGGAGGGCTCGGATCAGCAGAAGACAGGACCGAGGGGGCAGGGAGGGGTGCTCTGGGGAGTCGCGCAGGGCCAGGGGGAAACATGAAGGGAAGGAGGAGGCGGAGGGGTGCAGAGGCGGGAGGCACTGAGCTCCCGTTCATAGTCATTATGTCCAAACACCGTTTCTGTCTCGTCTCTTCCCCAGAGCAGGAGTGGGGAGGAGGGACAAGAGCTTGAGAAGGGCTGCCCTGAGGGGGTGAGGGGAGTGTCCTCCAAATGTGAACCCTGTGGCGGGTTCCATGGGGGGCCTGGTCAGTGCCTGGGAACCAAGGCATCTCCCAGACCTCCCCGCAACGTAGGGAGCAGGGCAACAGAAAGCTGGCTTGGGGCATGGGGTCATTTGGGAAGGAGCTGGGGTCCCCTGGGGAAGCCAGGAGCCAGGCACCGGCCCTTCCTCCCCCCTGCTCACCCGGTGCGTGCGGCACCTCCCTGACCCCTCTTAGACGCCTGCGCGGGGCCTCATGGCACCATCCCTTGGGCATCCCTGATTCGGGTCAGCTTCCTCCCCACACTGCAAGCTCCGTGGTCGTGGTCGTGGTCGGGGACCCTGTGCGCTCATGCCTCTGTCCCTCTCCATGGTGCTGGCCAGGCGTTCGGTGATCTCACCCACCAGCACACCGATGCGAACACGCATGCACACGTACCCTCAGACTCAGGGTCCACACACCGAAATGCTCATGGTGTTTAAGATGATCTAATGGGATAATTCCCCCTTCCTAGGTGTTTACGTTCTTTTTGTAATACAATCTTTAAATTCAGAAAGGCCTGATGTTATGAACGCAAGGTTGCTCGGTGAGGCTCACTCCAGAGACTCTCCCTGGAACAAAGGGGAACCAGCCTGGTGGGCACTAACTCCATCACTCCCCACCGGTGCAAGGCTGCCCAGGCCCGAAGAGGTCATGACCCAAAGCCGTACCCTGCCCTCCTGTAAAGTGACCTTCGGGGCCAGAGGTCAGGCGGGCATTCGTCCTGAGGGAGCCAGACTCACCACGAGGTCGTCACAGGAGCGAGGACAGGCAGGGCCACAGCGGCTGTACTTTGCCCCCTGAATGGCGGTGCAGTCGGTCACTGGGGAAGGGGGTGGGCAGGGCTGAGAGCTGTGTGGGGGGCCCACTCCGGCCCTGTCTCTCCAGAGTGCTCCTTGCCCACTGTCCCCCGTTCCTGGCCGGTACCTGGACATGGCAGAGCCTGGCAGGCCTCTCCCTGGGCCCGAGGCCCCTCACAGTAATCCCCCAGGCCCTGGGGTGGGGGCTGGTCACAGGCTCACATCCGGCTCCGCAGGCCTCCCCCACAGCTCCGGCTACAGCTGGACCAGGGCCCCCAGCCCCCAGTCCCCAGCTCCTGGGATGACAGCCAAGAAAGCAGTTGTCAGGGGGAGGGGCGTTGGCCAGGGCTGGGGGCCAGCTGGTGCAAGGCAGCGGGTATCCCCAGAGCATGGAGGGCACCATCCTGGGCACCAGGGGACTCACGGTCACACCCTGGCAGGAGGCAGGGCTCCTCCTCAGCGTCGGGGCCTGGGCAAAGAGGAGTAGGCAAGGTTGGTGAGGATGGCAGCGCCAGGACAGACGGGTCCGTGGCAGGGGGCCCAGAGCAGAAGCGGCGCCAGTGGCGTCGGGCAGGTCCACAGGAGGCTGAAGCACTCGCTCCATCGGGTCCAGGGTGACCACGTGGGCTGGCCTGGGGTACACAGGAGGGAAAGCAGAGTGGGGATGGAGTGAGCGCAGGCTGGAGGCACTGGCCTGGGTAGAGTGCCCCTCCTCCCTTCCCCCTACTCCGCCCAAGCTTTTCTCCCCTGGTAGGGAGCCCACAGGGGGCACCGTCGGGGCGTGGGGGCCCCCCTTCTCACCCTCCTCACAGGGCCAGGAGGTGCAGTGGGTGATAAGCCCAGAAACACAGGAGCTGGAAGAAAACAGCAGAAGGTCAGGGTGCTGTCGTAGGCTGAAGCGTGTTCCTGCAAATTCCTCCATGAAGCCCGAACACCCAGGATTTAGAATGTGACCTTGGAGACAAAGTCTTTGCAGAGGTGATCCGAGTTACAGTGAGGGTGCTAGGGTGGCCCTGGTCCAACATGACCGGTGTCCTTCTACAAAGGGGACATCCGGATTCAGCACAGACGTGCACAGAGGGGGACGAAGTGAAGAGGGGGCCACAGGGAGAAGGCAGCCCACGGAGGCGGCGTGCAGGGTTGCAGCCACCAGCCAGGGAACACCAAGGATCACTAGCAACCACAGAAGAGAAGGGCCTGGAGCAGATTCTGCCCCACAGGCCTCAGCAGGAACCACCCCGCTGACCCTCTGATCTTGGATTTCTAGCCTCCTGAAGTGTGAGAGGACATGCCCTGGGTCTGCTGTGGCACCCAACGGACCAAGACAGGTGGGAAAAGAAAGGATGGGCAGGGAGGGCGTGGGCAAGGGCCACAGGGAGCTGGACAGCTGTGCCTGAGGGGCAAGGGGCAGCTCCACAGCCCCCTGGAGGCCGACATCCCCTGGCGCTAAGGGGGGGACAGCGAGGTGCTCACAGGTCATGGCCAAGGTGGGTAGGGGTCCTCACCAGTTCTCACAGAGACGAAGCAACACACTGCCCGGGGGATAAAGGCGCCCCCCATGAGCACAGGGGCAGTCCTGGGAGGGCACACACACGTTGTTCTGGAGCCAAAAACCCTCTGTCATCTGCCGGATTCCAGGTGGGTCTGGCCCGGCCTGCTCCCCACAGTCAGAACCCAGCACCCCTTCCCAGGCTCCCCCCCTCCAATGCCACCCATGCTCTTTCCACAAACAGCCCGTCTGCTCCCACCACCACCATCAAGGAAATGTACACCACCGGTTACAGGGGCAAAAGGCCATCTCCAGTTGCTGGACGTGAGACTGAACTGTCAAGTGTCCATGGGATCAGCTAACAAAACACGCAATGTGCGATTCACAGAGCAACGATGTTTAAAACAAAATTCCACATTTCATCAAGAACATGTGAACTGATGAAATTATACACACAGGGAGTTTGGACAAAAGTTGCTGGTTGTCTTAAATTAAAAAAAAAAAAAAAACTGCCATCCAGCAGCACATGATTCAAAGCCAAGTGTACTGAGGTGTGGGCCAGGCCCTGGGAGGCATGTCAGCCTTTTACAGACTCCAATGACTCGGCACATTATCACCCCAATTTGACAAATGAAGAAAGCGAGGCACAAGACTACACAGCCCAACGTCACTGAGCTCCTAGTCGAAGAGTCTGATTTGAACTCAGACCCCACGGGAGTCTGGCCCTTGCCCACACCCCAGGCTTGAGCGGCCCTTCTGTAAGCCCTCCCCACCACCCACAAGCTTCTGTCCAGATTCCACGGCCCCCACCTCCTTTCCCAGCCTGGGTCTCACTGCCTTCCAACAGCAACGCCGCCTTCAGCTCTCCATACCCTGCAATCTCCGACAGTCCGATCAGGATCACCTCCTCCGGGAAGCCCGCTGCCACTGACCCAGCCCCTGCCAGGCTGCATCCCGAGCTCCACAATATGCAAAGCTCACTTCCCGTGTAAGGATGGTTCTATCTTCATTCTAGGTGCACTGGGTCTGGTCTCCCCAGACTAGAGGCTCCTCGAGGGCAGAATCTACTTTTTCCCCATGGCGTAGCCCCCCTAAGACTGAGCAGCCAAGGTGCTCAATAAATAACTAATGATAACGTAAGTGAATAGAGCGCTCAAGTAGGCATGAATCATAAAGATCTTCTAGACTGATCACCATTTCACAAATGGGAAAGGAGAGGCTCATGGAAGCACACATATGACTCACGCAGGGTCACCTGCTGACTGTTGGCAGAGCTGAGCCGTGACCCCTGAGTTCAGTGCTTTTTCCTCAACTCCGAAGCCCCATGCCCTTGGCTCTGCCCCTCCCAAGGAGGTCAGGTCAGGGAAGACACGCACCAGCAGGAGCGTCCCAGATGGGCAGTAACAGCCGGGGTGGCAGGTCTGGTCTGTCCCTTGTGGGGCACTGAGCTCCGCACAGGAGGCAGGGCCCTGGGCGCAGTCCAGCCACCGCTTGCCCTTGGGACACACGCCAGGCACGGGCCCTGGGGACACAGAAATTGACAGCCCAGCCCAGGCCCATTCAACTCTGCCCTGGGCTCCCAACCCAGGAGAGGCCTCAGCTCTAGTGTGGCCGGTGGCGGGGGGGGGGGGGGGGGGGGTCATAGGGCCGCACGGCAGCTCGGGGACAGGGGCCCCTGCGGTGACAGGGAGGGGTTGACAAGGCTCTGGGTTGGGCAAGATGATTATTGAGGGTCGGGGCGCAGCGGAGAGGTGGGCTGCCACCCGCAGGCCGAGAACTCCATAGGGCTGTTGAGGCCACCACCTCGGGTGCGGTTCCGCTAGCCACCGCCGCAGGGCACGGAGCACGGGGACCAGGGGCCCCACTTCCCACCAGGACCGGGGGTGGCGGACAGGTCACTGCGGGCCCTACCTCCCACACCCACCACACCCCTTCTCACACCTGCAACACTGCAGGAGGCCTCACTCCTTCTCGGCCTGGAGCGCGGCTGGCCTCCACGGAGGACCCTTCTTAGGGAATGACTCTCGGGGCTCTCTGGGGACACTTCCTGGCATCTTTTAGGGTAGGCCCTTGCACCTCTCTTGGGGTCTGGGGGGAGTGACTGGGGGTGTTCCTGGCTGCTCTCTGGAGGATTCTGAGGGCCTCGGTCCCAGCTCTCACCCTGACAGGGCTGCAGGCTGCAGAATTCGGCCTCCATGCTGGGGCCCGGGTACGCAGCACCCCCGAAGGCAGCTGGGGGCGCAGTGCCTGCCCGGAAGCACCGCCGAATGCCCATGTCACAGCTGCGGCTGCAGAGACTCCATGGGGTCCAGGGGCTCCAGCCACAGGCCACTGGTGGGGTGGGGGTGGGGAGGGACACAGCGGGTGTGAAGCCAGGTCAAGTCGTCCCTGGTCCCCAGCTTCCCCGGGGCACCATGAACACCCCAGGAGTTGACCTGGAGGGGCCAGCATCCTCTATGGTCCCTAAGGACACACCACTGCGGATTCCTGGGCGTCGGGGGTACCTGGGCAGGGCTCCGAGGTGCACACCATCTCACCGGAGACACAGGTACTGCCAAGAACCCATCGGGGCCATAGTCAGGCCCTGCCCGTGGAGCTCTGGGTACCTGTCCCCAGGGGCACACGGCCGGCACCGCCGCATCCACCGCACAGGAGAGAAACCCGAGGGAGGGTCTAGAAAGTAAAGCAAGTCGCCCCGCGTCCCCCTCGAACTTCATGAGGTGACTGAGGGTTCTCATCCGGACCCTCCCACCCAGTCCCCCCGCTCTTGGGCTCCCTGACGCCCCCAGCACCGTGCTGTCCTTCCTTCCTCACTCTGGTCAAGAAGTCACCTTTACATACTTTCATTCTGTTCGTATTTATTACAGTTTGGAAAGGACTTTGAACAGCTCCTCAGGGCGGGGCAGGAGGGATTTAGAAGGAGCAGACCCTAGCCTGCGTCTCTTGGGAAGAAGAACTGTGTACTTTTCTTTCCTTTTACTTTTCTCCAGTGGTTTAAAGCCCCCCCAACCCCACTCAAATACGTGGAAATTCCGGAAAAAGAATCTGAGAGAGAAAAAGCAAAAGAGAAAGAGGGCGGGGGAAAGGAAGCATGAAGGGGGGCTGGGGGGCAGGGGATAGGGAAGAAAAAGGAAGAGGAACATGTAGAATGGAGACAAGGAAAGGTAAGAAAACAAAAATGTGGGAAGAACCAGGGGGAGGGCGCCCCCTGCTGGCAGGACCCGGCGTCAGCATCAAGGTGTTTGAGCCGAAATCAAGTGGATCCCAGGTAGGGAAGTACAGCCAGGAAAGGGAGCGGACGGTGACTGGAAGGGGAGGCTAGAAGACCCTCACCGGCCCCTACTTCGTCCACCAATCACCGCACCTCTCTGAGCCTCAGTCTCCCCACGGACGCCCAGCCCGGTGACCACGCAGCCCCTCACTCGCTTTGGTATTCCCAGGGCCCAGGCCTGGCACCACGGAGGCGAATGGACCCCTGGGGTGTGTGTCCACGCCTGTCCACCCCTGGGGCCACCGAGCCCCTCCCCCACCCTCTCCGGAGGCTGGTGGCCTACCAGTTGTTGCAGGAGTCCAGCCGAGCCCGTGCTCCCGGGGCGTAGAGCTGCCCCTGCAACTGGCAGGGGCACCGAGTGCGGGGCCAGCAGCTGGCGTTGTGCAGGAAGAGGCCGGCGGGGCAGGCACAGCCAGGGGCGCAGAAGCTGGTGCACTCTACCCCAGGGTCCTGAGCCAGGCACAGCTGAGGGTAGGGGCCCCCGTCCTGCTGGCACTGCTCTGCTGAGCGGAACACCATGTCCCCGGGGCACTGGGCTGGACGGGAAGACAGAGCGGGTCTCAGCATGGGCGGGAGGAAAGGGCCAGGAGAGGGAGGGGCGAGAGGAGGCTGCATGCAGGTGACTGGCGAGCAGGACTGCGAAGCCGGAGGAAGCCCCCTCCCACTCTCCTGCCTTTGCAGGTTCGCTCCAGTGCCCAGAAGGTTGCCAGTAAAGATTCATGGCTTTGTCTAACTTGAACACAAATATCCTTTTATTTTTTAAGATTTCTTTTTATTTGCAGGGGGTGGGGGGCAGAGAAAGAGGGAGAGAGAATCTTAAGCAGACTCCGTGCAAAGCTCGGAGCCTGACACGGGGCTCAATCCCACGACCCTGAGATCAGGGCCTGAAACCAAGAGTCGGACACTTAACTGACTGCACCACCCAGGCGTCCCAACACAAATATCCTTGAAAGTAAAGCAGTCACTGGGCCAGGAGGGGGCTCAAAGGAGAAAGCGAGGGAGACGGGGCCAGGGGCTTCTAAAGATGGGCCAGCTCTGCTTTCCGCAATTCCCGCAGTGAGTGGTTCTGTGGTTCTGTGGTTCTGAGCCACGTGCCTGGGAAGGAGATCTTGGGCAGGGAGGGGCAAAGAGCCCGAGCCTCGGGCCACGGCCCGTGCCCGGTGCCCAGAGTACAGGAGCCAGAGGAGGGAGACAAGGACGTTCGGCAGCCTCTTAGCTCAGGGTCTGGCCTGTCCTGGAGCCAGAGGGCAGTGATGTGGGAAGGTGGGGTGAAAGAGAGGTCTGCCTCCCCAGGGGCTGGCTGGGCATGGCCAAGTGGAGAAGGGCAGGGGTGGGGGTGGGGGGAGACTGGCACCTGTGCAGGGCTGCGTGTTGCAATCCCTGGTCTGGCTGTGAGGCCCCTGGCACTCGGGGTCCCCGGGAGTAACGCCAGAGCAGCTGCGCCCGCGTATCTGGATGCCTCCATCACAGGGGGGACCGAGCAGGCCGACCAGGGAGCCCACAGACCCCAGGCGCTTGGCACTGTGAGGAAGAGCCAAGTCCATCATCATGGATGCGGGCAAAGGTGTGGGCAGGGGGTGGGGCGCAGGCGGGCCAGGGCTGTGTGGTGCGCGGGTCAGAACCAGTTTCAGCCACATCCACACCGCCAGGGCTGTCCCAAACATCCCTCAGGCTAGGCCCACCCTGTTAATCACTAGCTGGGGGCGGAGGAGAAGCTTCCGGACAACAGGTCTGCTCTAGCCCCCTGCGCCCTCCCCGCCCCAGGTGTTTAGAACCCGCCCAAGGGGTCATTCTTCCCCTTTGCTCCTTATTCCATCCTAGTGCCCAGGCCACTCCAGGGGCAGAGGGGGGCGTACCTGGGCACACAGGGGGGCTGCAGGGCTCCTCCTGGGTGGGCTCTCCTGGGCAGGACGTGTCCCCCGGGGCCGGGGCAGAGCCGGGAACGACGGTGCCGACCAGGGCCTCCTCCGACGGTAAGGCAGCTCTGGGAGCAGGAGGACCAGGGTGCCCGGGGGGTCCAGCCCGGCGCCTCTGGAGGGGAAAAGGGCAGGCCTTCCGCACAGGGGTCCTGCCAGAGCCGGGAGGCTTGGGAGGCCGGGTCGGGTCTGAGAAGCTATGGGGGCCAGGGAAGGACTCGTGAAGATGGGGAGTGCGTCTCTGGGCTCAGGCTCGGCCTCTGCCCCTCTGGGACCCCCACCCCCGGGCCCAGGTCTCACTCTCAAAGAACGGCCTCCTGCTCAGCCAAGCTCCAGCTCAGGCCGGACCCCCATCTGTGGGCCCTGATGGCACTTCACGTCCCCTACCCACCCTCACATTGCCCCCCAGCTCAACTCTTCCAGAGTCTTCTAAACACTTGTCCTTCATTCAGCTTCAATGCTGGAAACCCAAGCCCCCACAGACGCCTGTCAATCAGACGCCTGTCAATCAGACACCTGTCAGTGCCCCAGTAGCTCCACTGCCCCCTTCTTCTCACCCCCGCTGGAAGAGCATGGCCCAGACCCCAGGGACCCCTATTCTCACCTCCGTCACACCCACCTGCTCTCCTGAGGGGACCCCAGGCAGTGGAAGAGGGAAACAGTCTGGGCTCCTTCGTCTGGAGTCTCTGTTCTGATTGTCCACCCCAGCCTCACCCTCGGCCAACAGGACCAGCTTCACCCCCGCTCTCAGACACCCTGTTCCCCCAAGACCAGTCTGCTCATGGCACCTGGGCTGTCTGTGTGGGAGGAGGGAGGCGGGCATGGGGGTCGGGGGTGGGTAGCAGGCTCCTGCACCCCGGCTCCTGAATGTGCCTGTCCCGCACTCCACGTGGCAGGCCTGCAGCTCCTGACTGTCGCCTTCACACGGGGCGCCCCCAGAAGCAGCCGGAGGGCTGGAAGGGGATCTGGAGGGAGAGGGAGCCTGAGCATCCCCGCCCCTCTCCCTGCTTTCAGCCGTCTTCCTGTTCACCTGTCCTCCAACCACCCTCCCTCCACCACCTCCGTCCCTTCCTCCTCCCATACGCCTTCCCCTCCCCCCCATGGCTCCATCCTGCACACCTTCCCCTCCCC